AGTGCTCTGTATTTTGATCACGGTAGGGGGTTACAAATGTGTTGAACCTCATCAAAAACTCCACCTGCTTTAGGTTCGGAGGCTACTCTTTATGCTTTTATTATATATAAACTCTACCTCAGTAAAGAAGTAAGGAGGCACAGCATTTACTGGGCTTCAATTTGAACAGACAGCATCTGTTTACCTCTTCACTGACACACCCCAGGCCCTGGTCCTTCCTGCCAGGAGACTTCCCGCGGGTGCCTCAGCCCGCCATCGGGAGGAATCCACGGGTTACACCCTTGCCAGCTCTGGGGTACTCCTGGGCCGGGAGAGAGGGTGGGCGAAGGCTTTCACTGTCGCATCCTCGGCAAACGTGGAGCTAGTGGTGCCCAGGCCAGTCCCGCCGCGAGTGCGGAGCGGGTGTTGCGCGTCCACCCCGAGATGCACAGGGCTCAGCCAGAACGCAGGCGTCTCAGGTACCTGTCCCCGCGACGGCGCGGACGTGGGCGGGACGCAGAGGACTCCGAGCGTCCCCGAGGCCTCGGGGTTGCACCGTCGCGTCCCGACACCTGGGTTGACCTGACTCGGCGGGACGCGAGCAGGACGCTGTCCACCGTGGGCTACCCGGCGCCCGGCGGTTTGGGGGGCGGCGGGTAACTGTGGGGGCGAGGGGGACCGGCAGGAGTCAGGCGGGCGGGCGCCGCCTAACGGGGAAGCCGAGCGCGGCTGCCCGAGCGGGTTGTAGGAAGGAGAAGCCTCCGCCTCAAGAGGATACCTGAGAGAGCAGAGCCCCGCGCTCTGACCGGTTGAGTCCCGCTAATCGGCACTGGCTCAGCCCTCCGCCTTCTGTGGGGAGGTCGCCTCTCCGCGGGCCCCCTTCCCGGAGGCAAAAGCCTCACTCGGGACCTGACCCGCTGCTGGGAATCTTCTGGGCCAGTCTTCTGGGCCCTCGGCGCTCCACAGCTCGCCCTCTGAGGCGACTGGCAGGAATGCAGGGGCTCGCCCTCTCAGAGTCGCTGCCTGCCCACCGCCTCCTGCAGGTTCAGGGTCTCCAGCAGGGGCACCGGCATATCCTTCTCATTCCGCCACCAGTGCCCGCAGAGACACACCTCCCTCCCCAAATCTTACACACAGCCCTCAGTCTCCCCGACACAACACACACACACACACACACACACACACACACACACACACACACGACCTAGGACTCCTCTCCCCATTACCTCTCGCCCCCGTCCCTCTTTTACATCTTCTAATTGACTGTTGTCTACAATTGCAACCAATTGTTTCTGTGTAAACTTAATTAAAAGATTTTCCTGGAAAGATTGTTGATGTTCAATCGGCTTACTAGCAAGCAGCTTAATTTTTAAAAAATCAGTGACTAAGAGCAAACAGCATTTGCGCGTCTCATTTACTGGTGGTTGGCTACCCTGCGGGCGCTTCTGTGAACAGTAGGGTAAAATCGACCTTCCTGTTCAGAGCGATGGTGAGAATCTCCACCCTCCAGCCTAGAGAGCTGTCCTGGGTAACACACTCAAGGAGGAAAATTCAGCATCCCATCCTCTCGGTCTTCAGTGCCTCCTGACTTAGTCTTTGGCTAGTCTTTAGGGCAGGGTGGGAGTTGGCTGGTACTGCGCTGCTGCTCCTGCTGGCTTCCCAGGTGGAGTCAGTGGTAAAGAACCCTCCTGCCAACGCAGGAGAGGTAAGAGATGCAAGTTAGATCTTTGAGTGTGGAAGATCCCCTGGAGGAGCGCTGGGCAACCCAGTCCAATATTCTTGCCTGAAGAATCCCAAGGACACAGGAGCCTGGTGGGCTGCAGTCCATAGGGTCCCACAGAGTTGGACATGACTTAAGTGACTGAGCACCTAGGCATGCACACTGCACCTGCAACTTGGTCTGTTGGCTTGTGGAGCTCTGAGGGGCCCAGGGATGCCTCAAAGGCGCTTGCTAGTCTTAGCCTGCTACGAACAGCTTTTTAACATCCACCTCTCAAGCCTTCTCCAAAAAGGCATGAGAGGAGATGTTCCTTCTTGGCTGGGCCTAGTCTCTGGTTGGTACAGACCAACTTAAGCTGGGTCTGGGAGTCCATGTCCATGAAGAGACGTTAACGAGAAACTTGACCTGTGCCAGAACGAAAGGGAAGACCAATGCCCTCACCTCCTGGAAGCTGAAGGGTGGGCATTACTTCTGGCATGGACTCCCTGTCCCAACCCAGCAGCCCATCCACCCTGGGCAGCGTGGCCTCCTCTTTTTCCCTAAAATTCCTGGGCATCTGGTCCCCTGGAATTGCCACAGTCCATCTCTAAACTCTTCTTCCAACCTTTCCTTGAAATTAAGTTTCAAATGGTGACTCCTTAAAATGTCATTAACCAAAAGCACCAGTTAGTGCTCTGTAAATGTTTGCTTTTGTGTGGATATAGCCCAAAAAAGAGAGTCCAGTGAAGGGGCTGCAGACCTGGAGAGGGCAGCATGTTGGTATGCTGGGCTTTTAGTATCTTTCAAGCAGCATATTGGCAGTCACTGCCTTGTGCGTGGAATCATTGCTGGCGCTGAGACCTCTATGACAGTAGCAGGAAAGAAAAAAGCAAGCATCCATTAGTGAATGGATAAAGATTTCAGAGTTTGAAAATATACTTGTTTTCCACCCTCTTCCCCCTTCTCTGCACACCGAAGCAAACAGCGCTTTTGATTTAAAGCGTTATTATTTCTTACCTGGATTATTGCCAAAACTGCTAACTAGTTTTCCTGTCTGCATATTCACACTGTCATCCGGTTTTACATCTGTCTCTAAGGTGGCAATCTGCCTCTTCCCTTGTCCCTGAGCCCTAGTAAACTCCTCCATTGTCTTGAAATAGAACCCAAACCACACTGTGTCCAGCTTTCTGAGCTTACCCTTGGCCGACCTTCAGCTTTATTTCTCACCATCTCTACTTACCCGCTGTATTCCAGCTACAGCTAGCTATTTACCTGAACTTGCCTCCTTTGCAAATACTTTTCTTCAGCCTTTACTTCTCTTTTCCTTCCAACACACACACACACAGCTTTTACATGGCTGATTCCCACGCAACTCTGAAGACTCGGTCCTCAGGATGCCTTCCCTGTGCTGGACCCAGTTTCTTTTCTAGATAGTTCCTCCTGTAGCACAGAGGACACACCTCTATGACAGCACTTACTATCCAGTCCGTCCCCTGGCCCCTTTCATCTTCCCTAAGTATTAATTGTAAAGTATTTGGACTCTGAGCAGCTCAGTCCCTGAGATGATAAGAAAACACTTCATGTGTAGTGAAAGGATATGAGCTTTAGAACTAAGTGGACTTGGGTTCAAACTCTTGATTCTTTTGCTGTGCAATTTTTAGCAATTTACTTAACCTCTCTGAATCTTAAGATTCTTTGTTTGTAAAATCAGAATAATAATATCTACCTCATGGAATTATCGGAGAAGGCAATGGCACCCCACTCCAGTACTCTTGCCTGGAAACTCCCATGGACTGGAGGAGCCTGGTAGGCTGCGGTCCATGGGGTCGCTATGAGTCGGACACGATTGAGCAACTTCACTTACACTTTTCACTTTCACACATTGGAGAAGGAAATGACAGCCCACTCCAGTGTTCTTGCCTGAGAATCCCTGGAGAATCCCAGGGACGGGGGAGCCTGGTGGGCTGCCGTCTATGGGGTCGCATAGAGTCGGACACGACTGAAGTGACTTAGCAGCAGCAGCAGAAGCAGCATGGAATTATTGTGAGCATTAAATGAGACAATTCATATTAAAAATGTCTGCTCCTCAATTCTCACTTAAAGTGCTTTTCCTGGTTCTGACGACCTGGCTAGTGAGACAGCTATTGAAGGTCCTTAGACATTTTTTTCCTCTCTGAGCATCTGCATCTACAGTTGTTGATAACGTTTACCTTACAGGGATTTATGGAGATGAGATGATTCAAGGTATATGAAACCAGTTTATTAAATTAAAATGACATGGTAGGACCCAAGCAGAAAGCACTTTTATTCTTTATCATATCTTCACCTTTAATCTCAACACATGGAGTCAGTTTTTTGTGGTTCTGGATGAAGCTTCAGGCAGTTTCTGTATATTTTCCTATTTACCTTCAAGTAGTAAATAGTCCCGATCACTTTCATGAGTGGGAAAATTGAAGAAAATAATTGGATAATATTTACATTAATATTCATATTAATATGAGGAAGAAATACTTATAACTACTAGTCTTCATTTCTATAATGGGTCATGTAGTCAAAGTTGGCATTTTTAACTTCTCTGCTATTCACTCCATATTCATTTTGCTTTCAGCAAATACCTCATCTAATATAGTCACTGAAAGACACATATATATCATATTTTACTTATGTATAACTAATCTAGGCAGACAAATTAATTTCTAAGCTGGCAGAGCCCAAAGTTGTGGGTCTGGGGAGGAAAAATTCCCCTGGGGATCACTAAGAGTAACAATAAAGGAGCCATTCCCATTCCAGCCCCTTAATTTTCAGACTCATGAATCCCAGCTATGCAAGAAACAGCACTATATATTGGTCACTGATTCAGGGCATATACAGCATCCTGGGGACATTACCTAAGCCCTGCCCAGTGTTGGCACTCAGCTTGTGTTGTAACTAAGTCTCAAAAAAAAAAAAAAAAAGAAACCCACCACTCTTTCAGGCCATTTAGTTCAAGGTGATCAGACATATAAGACCTGTCCAAGACGGTATTTTTGGCAGAAGCAGGTAAGCAAAGAAGGAAAACTCATGTTCAGATCAATAGCTCATATTAGGTGTCAGAGGATGTCTGCTCCAGTAAAGAAACCATGTCTGGGACAGAAACTGAAAATAGAGCCCGCCTGGTTAAGTTTACGATAACTCATTGTCATTTTCAAGATCTGTCTGTCTTCTGCACAGAACAAGCACAGAACAAAAACAAGTCTTGTTGGCCATATGGTTTCTCTGCAGTGACTTGTTCTGCTATAGCAGGAAAGAGTAGTCACAGACAATAATAAGCAAATGAGCATGGTTATATTCCAATAAAACTTTATTTACAAAGACAGGTGGTGGACCAGATGTGGTCCATGGGCTTTGGTTTGCAGACCCCTGTACTAGGCTCTAAAGAAGCCTAAAGCCATCAAAACTGGGTGCACAGGTCTCCCAAAGACTGATAAGGGCTCCATTCTCTCTCCTCCAAGAAGGACAGAAATCAAGCTTCATTTTAATTATTTTGTATAGTGCTTTGGTGTTTTGATGTTCTTCTGAATGAGTGATCTCAATCCCCCCTTTATCCCATTTCCCCTCTTTCTGTGTAGACATCTCTAAGTGCTTCCCATTCCTCTTTATTCTGTTCTTTTGAACTTACAGGGTCAAGCGATTTTAGAGTGAGGCTCTTTCACATTCATCCTTGCTAACATTCTGGCTTCTTTCCAGATCCCTCATCTATACCAGGGTAAGAGGTAATGTGCAGTAGGATAAAGAGCACTTGTCTGGATCACTGGGCAGGATCTGCCACCAGCTTGCTGTGTGATTTTGAGCAAATTACCTTACCTCTCTGAGCCTTCCTTTTTTCATCTTTCAAATGAGGGTGTTGGTTAATGATCTCTAAAATCCCTCCTAGCTCTAAGATTGTGATTTTAGGAAGTGGTGGCTTCAACTCCAGCCAACTGTCAGGGGCCATTAATTAGGATGTCACTCACAGACCTTAATGAAACTGCCAGGAGGCCACAGAAATTAGCCACATGATCTTCTGCAGTTGGCAACCTTCCTTCCAAAGCTGGGTGGGTAGGGTTACCAGCCAACTTCAGGAAATCTGAGAGCCCATCCCACTTAAGGGAGAAAGGGAACATAAAATGACTCCAGGACCTCTGTACTCCAGGAAAATTCATTTGCATTCCTGTACTTCCACTGAGATAGCTACAAAATGTGCACAAATATTGACTTAGTTGGAAGCAGGATCCAAGGGAGCTTCTGTTGGGAGATGACATGCTTTTCCTTCTCCACCAGATCCTGTTGTATGGGGCTCTCCTGGCCAAATAAAGAATACCCCTCAAAGCCCATCAAATAAACATATGAATGGGTCAAGAGGAAATGGAGGCTTTGAGGAGTTAAAAAAATGAATGAGCAAACTCCAGCATGTGCCAAAGGAAAGCAGTCTTCTCTGAAGCAAGGATGAGGAAGGTCAGGGAGGACCAAGGAGCCTGGATGAGGCAGGGGCTGGTGGCGGTTGGCAGCTCAGGTATAGTATCATCCCCCAGCTCACAGCCCAGTGACTGCAGATGCAGCAAGATGGGCAGGAGACTGGAGTCCTCTCCCTCCCTCCTGGACACAGTCTTGAGGGATGGGAAGGGAGTAGAGAAGCCCACATCCTGGCTTCAAGGAGAGCAGGCTCTTCCTCTCTGACTCAGTTAAAGCTGTCTCATTTGTAGTCTAAATAATTCACTTGCCAATCTCTCAAGGAACATTAGAAGAAAAACAAAACCCTACCCAGCCCTCCAGCTCAGGTTCCCACTGCACTGAAGGCAGGCCGGGAGGCAGACTCAAGCTGCAGAGATGGCCTGCCTTCAAAGGTTCACTGGGGCTGGCAACCTTCCAAAAATTGCCTGGGGCCTGGTTTTGTATAGGCCTTGAACTAAGAATGGTTTTCACATTCTAAAAGGCTTTTTTAAAAAACAACATGAAACAAAATAAACAACAAAGACAAATATGCCACAGAGACTGTCTGTAGCCTGTGAATATTTACTATCCTTTCCAGAAAGTATGCCAATCCCTTAACCCATTCCGAAACCTGAAGGAAGCAATGACCACCTTTGACCTACTCTTTGACTACCCCACCCTATGACCCCACTGTGTGCAGAGAGATTCGAAGTTGTCAGAATTCTGACAGTAACAGTCTAGCGTGAAGCCAGCATCATTGTTCATCCTGTTACCAAAAGCAATGAAAAGGCAAAAACAAGAAGATAAACCCCGGAGTGGGGTGAATGTTCTTGATTTTCCGACATGGGGAGGGAGGGAGAGAGAGGCACAGAGGGGCTGAGACTAAGCCCCAACCCTGATTTGTCTTCTCCGAGAGTCAGAATTTAGCACTGTCCCAGCTGTTCTCCACTGACACCCTTCCCCTCAAGGCCCATCACATCCCGTAGTCCTGGCGATCCCAGTCGATCCCCGTCGATGCCAGTAGTCATTGAGGCTGTCTGTGATTTTCTTACTGATGAGACATGCAAGTAATTTGCATCTCTGAGGCCTGTGTATGTGTCATCTCCAAACTATCTAGGGTGCCAATCTCACTGGCTGACCCTCAGGCCTGGACAGAGTCTCTATCCAGCCCACCAGGGGTTCCCTTGCTGCCCAGAAGGGCCTTAGAAGGAAGAGGACTCTGATGAGCCTACCCTGGATGCTACCCCAGACCCTCTCTTGGAGCCAGAGCTTCTGAGAGGTGTAGACTCCTAAGGACTCCGGAAGAGACAGGTTCGAGAGAACAATGAGGCCACCAGCTCAGAGTGCCCACCTGTAACTGGACTGTCAGGGGACTGTTTGGAAGTTTTGGGGCTGAGGGCAGAGAGGAGATCCAGTGGCCCCACATCCTGGTGAGTAGATGTTCTGGATTATTTCAGAGAGGAGTCACCTTTGTAAAAGTTCTTGCTCAGAATCATTTTGCTGTCCGGCCAGTTTTTTGCAGATTCCTGTTCTTGAGCTAAAAATAGCATGGAAGACCCAGGCTGCAATCCTAATATCCAGGCTAAGCGAAAGGTTAGCAGTCTTAGAGATTTAGGAGCCCAAGCACTAAGACCTTGGGCCAGTCATCTCATCTCTGTGGGAATCAGTTTCGTCATCTGTTAGAATGAGCAAACAAACAAAAACTTGCGGTACCTGGGTGGGGTGGATTTACAGTCCTGTCCAGCCCATACCCAGCATGCCCAAAGCAGGCAAGGCCCCTGCAGAAGCTTTTCGGGAAAGTTGTTCGGCTTCATCTCGGCTTTCCCTTCCCAAGTCAATTCAGTCCCATCCAAATGAGATACAGGTGGTCAAGCATCAGGGGAGAGTTTTCCTTTAGCAGGTCAGCACTTGCAGGGGATTCAGAGGGACGTGAAGTGGGGAAGTAGTGGGTGGTGAATATGACCTCTTGTCTTTGTGCCCTGTGGCTAGGGGGTGGCCGACGAGCTGTGGGAGTCTCCTCCTCAAACCCCAACATGCTCACAGCATATGGTCCAGAAACCACAGCCTGATACCACACACTTTAGTCTAAATTGTCCAGATTGCCTCTCGTCTGCTCTCCAACTTAACTGAACACTCCTTAAAGGGTAGGGATTGTATCTTGACTGTCTTCTGTCTCCCAGGAGAGCCCAGCATCACAGGTATGTGACTGGAGATGGGCCTGGAGATATGAAGTCTGGATCTGCTGAGAAGTTTGACTGCAATGCCCCTGGAAAGAGGACCGTGTACTGGGCACAGGGTATGGGTCAGGTAAGCAAATCCCAATATTTGCCGGCTGATAACTGGCCACCCTTCTCTCGTCCATAGCTCAATCAAGCTGTCAGGTCATGACCCCAAGAGCTATCGTGTCACCTAGAAAGCAAGTGATGCAAGAAGGTTAGAGAAGGGAATGCCTGTGCCATCCCAGCATGCTAGAGATTCCCCTGGATATGCAGGTCATGTAGCGGTCATTGCTGCTGACCCCTTCCCCTGTAGCAGCCCAGACTGGGAAAGCACAGCCTGGTGGCCCAGGCAAACTTAAATCACTCACATGTCACTCCTGTTTGCTTCAGAGTAGCTGACAAATGGCAAGCACAGAGATCTACAGGCTACAAACCCAAACTTATAAACTAGTGACCAACGTCAGAAGCTCTGGGGTGGGTCTCTCCTAGTCTTAAATCTACTCAGCATGACTGTGTCCCTTGCCTGCCTGAAGATAGGAAGCTTGACTCTCGGTCTGGCCACACCTTACTTTGCTGTGGCTCCTGTTCTATGCTCTGTGAAAATGTTGCTCTCTTCAGAACTCCAGAGCCCACCTCTCCTTCTCTGTTGTCTTGTTTGCGTGTTTGTTTGCTGGGTGTGATGGCAAAGGGGGAAGGCAGAAGGCAGGATTCTGGCCTCTCCCGCAGTGTTACTCATCTACTCAAATGGCCATGACAGAGTGATACAGCTAATTAACTGTGACACGCATGGAACTGCTAAGAGTTCAATAAAACTTTAATGGCCCTTGCTCTGCGGGGTGGGCAGCAAACCATGAAAATAACCACCCACTCCGGGGGTATCAGCACAGCCATTCAACCAGAGGAAGGCAGGTGTGAGCTGTAAGGAGTGAATCCTGGGAGCGTGGGGTGGGGCCTGTGGCAGGGGCGGGTGGGAAGAATGTCCACTGCAGATTCCACTTGGAATTATCTAGATTATTTCCTCGATTCTCTACTTTGTTCTAAGGACGTGACATTTTCTGGGAGGAAAACTCACTCAAGGCAGAGGGGGAAACCAAGGTTTACGGAGCAATGGAATCTGCTCAGAAGACACGCATGCGTGTCTTAGCATGTCTTAGCATGCGTGCATGCTAAGTCACTTCAGTCATGTCTAACTCTTTGCAACCTGTGGACTGTAGCCTGTCACACTCCTCTGTCCATGGGATTCTCCAGACAAGAGAATCCTGGAGAGGGTTGCCATTCCTCCTCCAGGGGATCTTCCCAACCCAGGGATTAAAACTGTACCAGAAGGACACACTGGATTTCAAACCCAGAAGACCTGACTCCAGCCCCCAGAGTCTAGACAAACCCAGCAGAGACTGTCTGGGATGAGCCCAGAGGGTCTGCCGCTCTCACTGTGGGAAACCAGCATCCTAGATCCCAGGCCTCTGTGCCCCCTTGTCCCACCGCTGGTGAAGGCAGAAGAGCAGGGGTGGGATGAAGTGTCCACCCCTGGATACCTTGGTGGTTCTGACTTTGTGTCCACTGCTGCAACTCCACCCCGACAGGTCCGGGAGCACTTTACACTCCTCCCCTGGCAGGCAGGGCTCCATGTGACACCACCACTTCTGCAGGACTATGGAGGCTGTGGGAGCAGGAGGCAGTAAGGGCAGATCTAAAGACTCTGCATGCAGTGGGGGGGGGGGGGGGGGGGGGGGCGCTGGTCTGTGCAGAATGTAGGGCGTGTTCCCACATACCCTGGCTTTGAGCCCTGCATTTGTCTTGTCTTTTCCTGACTCTGAGCTGCCTGCAAGGCAGTACTCAGGCTGAGGCCTGGGGACACAACCACACAAACCTCAAGCCTACTGACCTTCCATCTCACCAAAGCCAGGGCAGGGTGATGGGGAAGTGATTTCTAAGGCAACTCTTGACTTGAGCCACCTGGTTAATAGCAGAGAGGCACAGCCTCCGACACACACTTTCAGATAAGTGAGCAAGTGTGCAAGTCATCTGAGGGGGCCACAGGCCAGGAGTGCACAAGTAGGCACGTGTGTGTGAGAGAGGGAGAGAGCACAAGTGGGCGTGTTTGTAGTGCTGCCATGGGAGCATAGAAAAATGAACATGGGCAGGGCTGCGGGAAAGGCATGAATAGGAAGGAATCCACTGCTGAGCGACGTCTGTGGAGGGTAAAGGCGGGCTTGAGGATGAGAGGGGCTGTGAGAGGCCTGGGAAGGAGCCGTGGGTGAAGAAGTCGGCGTCTGGAGGAGTGGGTGTGAAGTAATGAGCCTGCCAGGAGGCTGAGAGGATCCCCCTGAGGAAATGGACCCGCGCCTGTGTCAGGCAGTAGGTGCGGTCTGGAGGGAGGGCGTGTGCATGTGAGGGCACTCTCCTCATTTCTGGGATGGGGATGGTCACATCTGTGCCCCTCCTCCCCAGAAGTGGCTCCTTCATTTGAGACTCCCAGGGTGAAAGCCCTGAGATGGGCATGAAATTGCATCCCTAGCAGATGGCGAAGCCCGGACAGACCTTCTTATCTCTCTGACCAGGCCCTCCCCGCTGGGTCCCAGCCTCTCACTCACCATCCACACAGGAGGGCTTTGCCCGGGTGGTGCCGGCCACCTGGCCAGAAAAGCAAGAGCACTTAACGGTCTGGGAGCGCTCCTCGATGTGGTTCCGGTTACAGCAGCGGTGGGTGGCGATCACCTCGCAGGTGCCCTGCTTCACGGGGACTGAAGGGGCCAGCACAGATCCAGATCGGGTGGCCAGCCCAGGCCAGTGACCCTCCTCCCCTTCCCCGCAACTCCATGTCCTCAGCCCCTCCTCCCAGCTCGGGGCAGGGGTAGGTAAGAGATTTCCAATTGTAGGGGAGGAGGAAGTGGATGAAATCTCCCTGCCACGTCCCAGGGCTCCTGTCCTTCCTTCCTCCCCAGCGAGGCCACACTCATCACCCTGGCAGAGTCTAGCCCTTGGGCAGGAGAAAGATGGAGTCCACACCAACCCCCACCTCCTGGCCTCCTCCGGGTGAGGCCAAGGGCCTCGGGGCTTACAATGCGTGGGGGAGGATGATCCGCTTACACCAGCTTTAGCCATCCCAGAAGGAAAACCACAGAATTAGGCCAGGAGGCTAGACTTAAGCCCTGACCCGGGGGCGCCTCTCCCTGCAGAACACCTTCCGGCCTGGAAGGGAAGATGAGAATGGATCTGCTGGTGCCTTTTCGGACTGGGATAGCAGAGAGGGCAGAGTTCCTGGGTGAAGAACAGGTGCCAGAACCCCTAGAATCTGAGGGTTGTACTCTGCCTTAGAGATCTGCCTGCTGTGGAATGGGGTGGGGTGGTTAGCGTCCAGCTTTCCAGGCATCCTGGAAAACCATGTGCCCCCTGGGGTCGGTCCCACCACCTCCCCCAAACCTGTCGGAGTTGGAGGCTGCAAGGAAGCTGAGGCCAGGCGGGTCCACAGCCAGGCCAGGCAAAGTGCCAGCAGCCAGCCGCCCGTGTTCCAGGTCTGCGTGGCCCTCTCACGCATCCTGCAGAAAGAAGCACATGCCCTGCTTGACTCCAGGCAGGAGCCACCCCCCAGCCACCCCAGTGCCCAGTGCCACATGCTCTGGGCAGCACAGAGTGGGGGCAAGGCCCCCACCTTGTTCCCAGGCAGCTCTCAGCCTAGCACACACTCACTGTAGAAAGTGGTGAGTGCCAGAGTAGGATAGGGGGGAAGGAAAGGACACGTTCTGCTGGGAAACGCATGGAAAGCTCTGTGGAAGAGATGACACTTAGGAAGTGTCTTAAAGAATGATGTGGACATGGTCCCATGAAGGGCTGTGACATGGGAGGACTGATAATGCTAACTCCCATGTGTTGAGCACTTGACCCACACACTCTGCAACCACTCTCTTGAATCCTTCACAACTGTCCTACAATGTAGAATTATTTGTACCCATTTTACAGATGAGCAAACTGATACCAAAAAGTCTGGACACAATCTAAACAACCATCAATAAAGGACTGGCTAAATACATTCTGGGGCATCTGTGCAAATGCAGTCCCATAGAGAAAGCTGCAAAAGAAAGAGGAAATGCTGTATGTACTGAGGCACGCAGTGGTCTCCAGGAATAACCCATCATTTAGGGGGAAAAAAAGCGAAGTGCAGGGTGATGTGTATTCAGTGTAAAGGGGAGGGATTATATATGTTGTTCAACTATGAGTAAGCTAGCTCACTCTGGAAAATGTACCAAAAGACCCTAATAACATTGTTTGCCACCAAGAAGAGAAAGTAGTGGTCTGAGAGTGAGAAACTGGTTGGCCAAGAAGCAAAGGGAGAAAAGACATTTTTCTTCCTATTGCTCCTTAATCTTTTGGATTCTGAACCATAGGAATCTGCTAGCAATTCAACTTAGACAAAAATTAAATATAAAAAGGAAGAAGTGGTATGGAGGCTCAGAGAAGTCAAATAACTTGCCCAAGACCAGGCAGCATGTGGGTCGGAGAGCCCTGAGCCCAGAAAGCTGCCCCGTTCCCACCGGACCACTTTGCTTTTGCTCTTTTCCCCTTTCCTTCTCCTCCTTCATCCTGTTGGCTCACATCTCCCAAATCTTTCCCAGACAGTGGACTAGAAATGGAGGGAGTCCCAGGGAAGCAGAGGCACAGAGCAGCTGGGAGCCACCAAGTGCAGAAGAGGCCTGAACCACCCTTTCTGCTGCCCTGCTGGCCCCCTGGGGCATCACTGGGCTCCCTCAGGTGCCAGCTTGGTGCTGGGAACACCAGAGGCCAAACCAGATGCCAGGACTCAGTTGCTCCCCTCTTCCTTTTGGAAACAGTGGTCAATCTATGTCTACCCATGTCCCCGCCGCCCCAACTCCCCCTCTTCAACTCACCTTTTTTGGAATCTTTTAGCTTCTGTCTCTTCATCCACTGGCTTCAGGCTCTACCTAGAGAGGCAAGAGAGATTCTTGTGCTTTGCAAGGGACAGAGGGAGCCTGTGGTCCTCCAGGTGGTGGAAGAGGGCCTGGATGAGGGCTAGCGGGTAGACTGGGCACTGAAGTAGAACCTAATTCTGAGACTGTTCCCCAAGGTGCCAGGACAGGGGGTAAAGTACCTCCTCTGCCTTGGGAACTCGCAGAGGGCCTTGCAGACTCTGGGAACATGTAGGGTGGTAAGCCTGAAAAGAGAAGTGGGAGATGGTAGGAGGTGTCTACGAACCAATGCTATTACCTCTCTGGTCTTGGGAAGGGGCTGAAGGCCAGAGGAGTGTTTCTGAGCAGAATCTGAAAGACTGCTGCTGGGGAGAGGCTCCTGAGAATAACAACCCCGAGGTCCTGAATCCTCTTTGCTGCCCCTTCCTCCTCATCCTGCTTCGCACCTGCTTCCTGGACTGCCCAGGAGCCGGCTCAACTCTGCCACCCTCACCCCCATTCCCCCTCAAGGTTTCTGAGCCCCAGAGGCTTCAGCTCCAAAGGTCTCTTTAAGACCTCCCCTCTCTCAGCTTCCAAAGGGAGGTGGAGCTGGGGCAGGTCAGATGGTGGGGCTCAAGAAGGACCGAGAGCCTCCTGTTGTGGCTCCCCAAGAGTGAGAGCCCAGAAAGGACTGTGGGGGCAGATGGAGGAAGTGGTGCCAAACCCCCCTGGGATAGGTGTGCTCCAAGAGCAAGGAGATTCCTGAAGCACCTCTTTCCTGAGTTTGTATCTCTTCTCCCCCCCATCTTCGGGAATATCTGCTTTGATGATCACAAAGGCAGCCCCCCCCATCCCATTTCTCTCTGAGCTGCCACATCCTCCAATCTGTTTTCATCTCTCTTAATGAACCTCAAAATCCAAAAGACCTCGGAGTGTATTAGGTGGGTTCTCTGGCTTTCTGTTCCCTCCCTTAGAGAGAGCTAGAGAGAGAAGCTTCTGGGATTTGTCCTCGGGCTTCCACACACCTGCCTCAGTTTCCCAGGCTGTTTCCCCCAAACCCCTGCATGCCAGCATAGGGTCGAGAATGTGAACTACAAGATCCACCTTTCCCCACCTCTCCCGCCCCACGCCGACTCAGTCCTCCCAATTCTGAGCCCCCAAGTACGGGACCTACCTGTCCCAGGCGGTGCCAGCTGGTTCTACCCGCGGGGCCGAGGTTCTCTTCACCTTTGAACCCAGGATGGAGACCCGAAAGGGGAACTGCGGCCAGATCCGGGGCTGTCCAGTCCGGAGCTCTGTACCCCTCACCAAGTTGCTGTGTCCCCGAAGCCGTGGGGCTCTGGTCAAAGTGGCATCCCGATCAGGCGGGGCCCGCTCCGGGCACCGGGGAGCTCCGGGCCCGCCCGGCCAGCTCTGCAGAGCTCAGCCGGGGTCCCTCCGAAGCTCCCGCCCGCAGGCTGGGGAAGTACGCGGCCGCCGCCGCCGCCGCCGCCGCCTCCTCGGCCCGGGGCCGCTCTCGCTGCCCCAGCCCAGAGCGGTTGTCGCCTCCGCCTCCCAGACAGCGCTCCGCCCGCCCGGCGGGCACAGCGACCCCTGGCGGTCGAGGCAAGACCAGGGACGAGGGGAAGAGAAGCCAGTCCCGCAATGCGGTGCGTGGTGTAGGCTGGGGTAATTCAGAGAGGTCCCTCAAAACTCTGGACGTCTTAGGGCTTGGGGTGGGGGTGCTGAGTGTGAGGACAGCTCAGACACTCAGAGACTTTGGGCCTTGAAGATTTCCGAACTGCACTGTCTAATAAGGTAACCATTAGTAGTATGTGATTATTTAGATCTAAATAAAATTGCGTTTCTCATTTACACTCATGACATTTCAAGTGCTCAGTTGCCACATGTAGCTAGGGACTACTGCATTGGGCAGAAAAGACATAGAACATTCCCACGATGCACAAAATCCTATTTGACAGTGTTTTTCTGGATAGCTATGTTATCACTTCAGTGTTAAAATGTTGAAAATCCAGGAGGAAATAAGAAACGATCTCTACTTCAGGAGTGGTGTCCTTTGGGGCAGGAAGGACCAGGGGAGGTATGAGGGTAGGAGTCCAACTGGCAGGAGTGCTTTGGTAGGCCTCTGGGTGACCTCAACTTGGAAACTCTTGAGACCCAGTTTCTTCATCACCATAAAAACCGCAATGTAATTGCCATTGTACAGTGTATAATTCATTACAGATGATCTGAATGTGAAAGTATTAGACAAATGAGAGAGGGAAGTGGTGGTTGGTGTGTGAATTTGTCTCTTAATTGAAGGTTATTCCTCCTAGTTAAAGAGGGCTTTCGGGTTGGAGTAATGGGGAGGGGAGAGGCAAGGGGAAAAAAGCCCAGTCTGGACTCTGAGCCACTGCATGTGGCCCAGGAGAGAGGGACTTCTCTTAGGGATGCCCAGTTTCCACCCCTAGCCGAGGCCTTGCACACTCCTGGCAGGACCAGCCTCTGAACAGTTCTCAGCAGAGAAGAATATCCTACAAGACTGCTTCTTCCCACTGCATGCCCGCTTTTCCCTTTCACTCTATGCTGCCTTGGGGATGAGCAGAGGTGGTGACCTTTTCACCAGGTTCTCGGGCAGTCTGAGGATGGAGGAGGTGTGATGATGCCAGGAATAGGTGGTGAGAGGTTCAGAGAGAGGAGATCCTTAGGATTTGGGTATGGTCAGAAGGCTGTTCTGAAGCCCAAGGAAACTGTTGAGATCCCTGTTGACCATCTGGTGCTGAAACTAGGAGGTCTTTGGGCCCTGGCTTTGTAACCCACTTGCAATCACATCATGATGGATGTTGTGAAGAGCAGGAATTACAGAGCTGAGTGACACAGAGAAGTGGTAAGCCAACTGTCCCAGAAACAATGAATAATAAAAATAGCCAGGATGTTGTATTTTTTTCTTCTGTCTTTGGCCTGCTGTGGCTGTTTATGCCATTTATCTGTGAGCTCGTTTCAGTTTTTCTCAAACAGGAGGAAATATCCTTAGCAGCAGCAAGTCCTTTATCTCCATCTTCCTTGCCACTCTGTGTGCCTTTGGGTCTGACTTTTGCTTTTTCTTTTCTTGTGACTTTTTTCTTTTCTTGTGACTTCTTTTTTCTTTCTCTTTGCCCAGAGTGTAGGTGTAATTATAGAAGTCTACCAACCTGAATGAACATTGTGAGATTTTTATTTGGAAGCTACCAGGAAAGTCACCCCTTCTGGGGCTATAGGCTAACCAGGAACAGAGTCGTGGTCAGGAAGCACCCACGTGACAGAGTCCAGAGGTGGAATACCCATCATGAACTGGGTGCCAGTGATCTCTGAGGACCACCCTAACTTGCATTAGGACCTTGAGGGCCATGTCCTCATTTGAACTGTGCATGTTCAAGGAAGGAGGACACCTCAAGGAAGGAGGTGTCTCTGGAAGCCCAATCAATTCCCAGGCTTAGGGACCATAGCTCTTTCAGCAGCCTGTCAGTACCGCCCGCCCTGCTCAGGTAGGCACTTAGCCTGGCCTCTGTCTCCCCCCGGTGGCAGTTACAGAAGTTGTTCACCTGGATTGCTCTCAGTCTCTGTGTTATGAGAAAGAGGGTGGGAGAGAAGGAACCCCCACTCTTCTGCTCTTCACCTGTCTCTTCTTAACCCTTCTTCTCTGAGCTTGATAAATCAGCTTGATTCGTAAGATAGTATCAGTTTAGGTGGTTGGGAAATGGACATGGGCATAAATTTCACACTGGGTTGTTGACCTCCTGGAACAAGTCATGTAAAATAACAGGAGCGTCCAGACCTGCCTCATCCATAAAAAGAACATAACAAAAACCTACCTTGCAGGGTTAGTGTGCAGTGTAAAGGGCCTGAAGTATAGAAAGCGCTTTGCAGAGGGACCATTATGTAGTTAGTCCTCAATAAACGGTAGTTATTGTTGTTATCTTTACTATCTTATTCTTCTGTGGTCAAGGGAGGTTTAAATATGGAAATATGGGAGGAAATTGGGTCCTGGAAAAAGAAAAAAGTGACGTGGCAACCGCTCTGTCGGATCTAGAGGTGGTCTTCACGGGGAACAGTGCCTCTAGGAATCCAGGAACTTACCCAGCTCACCAATTCAGGATGACTAGCTCCAGCCTGCCTTGTTACCACCTCCACAGCATCCCAGCAACAGTTCGCTCGCCCTCATTTTCACTCTGGCAGCCCCAGCCAGAGGTGTTATCACACCAGAGTTTCACACCCAGCGGTCGCTGATGGAAGTCATCAGCTCTATCACCCTCTGGGCAGGCTGGCCACAATGAATCGAGGTCGAGGAGACACCCCCTTCCCGTCACAATGGGGAAGTTCTAGCTGATGTCTAATCTAGAGCAAGGCTGAAGTAAGATTTCCTTCTCTCTGTTCCCTCCCTACAACAGCAGACCCTTCTTCCCCTAAAAAGCGGAGGCGGGAGAAGCCGGAAAGAGGAGGGGTAGAGGCCACTAGCCAGCGGGGTCGGTCCGGGAGCCGGGAAGTTTTGCCGGGGACCTGCCTGGGGGCGGGGAGCCAATAGAGGGACCGAACCGACCGGAGCGAGCACCGCCCCTCGCGAGTCCTAGGGGGCGGGGCCTTTTCTGGGGCGGGGCCACGGCCGAGGGCGGGGCAGGGAGGCAGCATGCTAAACCGGGTGCGCTCGGCCGTGGCGCACCTGGTGAGCTCCGGGGGCGCCCCGCCTTCGCGCCCCAAGTCGCCAGACCTGCCCAACGCGACCTCGGCGCCACCCGCTGCCCCTCCGCAAGCTCCTAGGAGCCCTCCGGCCAGGACTGGGAGCGGGGGTGCGACGCCAGCGAGGACAGTAGAGGCTCGAGCAAGCTTCTCCCGACCGACTTTTCTGCAGCTGAGCCCCGGGGGGCTGAGACGCGCCGACGACCACGCTGGCCGGGCTGTGCAAAGCCCTCCGGACACCGGCCGTCGCCTGCCTTGGAGCACGGGCTACGCCGAGTGAGCGCCCCCGGGGGCACCCTAACCAGGATGGGACTCCCCCTCCCAACCTCCTCCCGACCTCGGCATCCCGGGCCCTGGGATGCATCCCCCTCGCCGCGCTCGGTGCCAGGGGGCTCCCTTTCCCCAGGACCCGCCCCCAGCCTTTTCTCAAGTCGGGAGCAGCTTTTTCTCAGGATCTTCTAGCTCGCTGACTGTCCTCACCCGCGCCGCTTCAGAACCTTGTTCTCTCCCTGAGCCGGGAGGGTGAAGGGCCCGTGAACGATGAGTTGGCCAGTTCTCAGTCACGGCCCCGTAGTTTAGTGGCCAAGAGAGGGGAGGTGTCACGGGCCGGGGGTCCCTTGTAACATAGGAGATAGAAGCTAGAAAAACTCCTTGGGCTTCCCGACCCCAGCGCCCCAGTTCCCTGTCCCTCTTACCGTTCCCCTCCCCCTCCACACCCAGAAATAGCCCGCGACACCAGGCTGCCGCCGGCTTTCCCAGGGGCGGGAGGTGGGGGGGCGCCCGGAGGAAGCGGGAGGGCCCCCTTGAACACCCTTTGATGGGTGGACTTGCCCTGGCCAGGCAAGGAAGTGGACCCTCGGGCCAGAGCGGTCAGAGTGGCGGGAGCGGCCGGCTTGCTCCAAGGCCGCCTGGATTTTGTTTGTCTCTCTGTATGCCATGAGGGATCTTAGTTCCCTAACCAGGGATCTGGGACTGGCAGTGAGAGGACATAGCCACTGGATCGCCAGGGAATTCCCATAGGGCCCGTGGATTTTTAATGCATCTGCTGGGAAAGCAGAGCACTTAGGAAGCTGAAGGTGCCAAGGGCGGAGGGTGGTGGCTGGTGGACCTGTGGCCCCACTATCAGCTCCTTTAACTTCCTATTTGGAATGAGTTTGGGGTTGTGTGGCTTCAGCACAGTCCATGGGGTCTTCCACTCCTACCTTATTTCAATTCCCTTTCCTGATATGGGCTGGAACACTTACTCATTGCCAAAGCAGCAGAAACTGGGACTTCCATGTTAAGACGCCAAGCTTCCAACACAGGGTACTCGGGTTCCATCCCTGGTTGGGGAACTAAGACCCCACAAGCGGTCAAAAAACAAAACCAAAAAAACAAAGCAGCAGGAACTTTCACTGGATGATTTTAGGATAAAGGTGGGTGTGCTCATGAGGGTAGGGTGGGGTCTTGTGGACACAGCACTAGAACAGTTTGGGGGGAGGCGCACCAGGGTGGATGTAGGATCTTGGCAAGCCAGGAATTAAAACCTCCTCCCCTTCATCCAGGCCCTCCCCCCGTGGCACCATCAGGATGTCCCCTTAGCCAGAGGTGGGAGAACTGAGTGGGAAAGTGCTGCTGCGGAGCCCAGCACCCAGACTGTACTCCTTGTGACTTGCCCTGCCTCCCTTCTCCTCCTCCCTCTGGCCTGGTTCCCAGGTGGCTGTGACCTTTCTCAGCTTGGCCAGCAGGCCAGAAAGGGTATGTGTGTCTAAGGTGGGAGTTATTCCAGGACCTGGTCTGGTATCCAACCTGATGTGGTCACTCTGGCCTGACAGGGTCATCAACGCTGGCAAGAGCCGGCACAATGAGGACCAGGCTTGCTGTGAAGTGGTGTATGTGGAAGGCCGGAGGAGTGTTTCAGGGGCACCTAGGGAGCCTAGCCGAGGCCAGGTAAGCCCCCCCACCCCCTTTCCTGGCCTCCAGAAACATGGGAGACACCTCTCCCCAGGGATTCTAGGCATTTAGTTTTCATCTGAGCCACACAATACCTCCTAAATCACTAGCTTTCTGCCTTATGGCACAGAACCTTTATCTGGCATTGCTCAGTTAGATTCTACCATGTCAGTATGAATATTTAGTTTTCCACTTAAATGTAGATGCTCATGTATTTATTGATGATTTAAGTAATTACCATTGCTTATGTTTGCATCTTTACCCTTTGAGTTTGACTCTTTTGCTACTTTGCTTTTAGACACATTGTAGGCCCTTGGTGAATGAATGAATAAATCTAATTTGCCTTTAATACCAAACTCAGACTTCCTCTCTGATATTTATATGGATGCCTAGAGTCTTGCTTTTTTCCCAGCACAAAACACACACACACTCACTCACCTCCAACTTTTCCTTCTCCAGGGACTCTGCTTCTACTACTGGGGTCTGTTTGATGGGCATGCAGGGGGCGGGGCTGCTGAAATGGCCTCTAGGCTTCTGCATCGCCACATTCGGGAGCAGCTAAAAGACCTGGTAGAGATACTCCAGGACCCCTTACCGCCTCCCCTCTGCCTCCCGTCCACCCCGGGGGCTCCAGGTTCCTCTGATTCCTCTCAGTTGGTTGGTCCTCAGTCCTGCTGGTCTTCACAGAAGGAAGTGACTCACGAGAGCCTGGTAGTGGGTGCCATTGAGAATGCCTTCCAGCTCATGGTAAGTGGTTGGCCCAGGCCAACGGCCTGCCAGGCAGACACTCTGGTCAACTATGTATAGGAGTCAGGTGGCCTGAGGAGGTGACTCTGAGAACCCACAACAGGTTCGAAAACCTGACCAGAACTTGGCTCAGAGGCGGGGAGGGAGGGTGTGTTATACAGATGTCTTCCCTACTCTCCACCAGTGTGGCTTGCCTGGGCCAGTTTATTTCTGCAGATGTGGGTGGGCTGGGTGGTTGTGTGTATGGAGTCTCTTCCTCATCCACCCCCCTCTGACCCTTCGTCATATGGCAGGATGAGCAGATGGCCCGGGAGCGGCGTGGCCACCAAGTGGAGGGGGGCTGCTGTGCACTGGTTGTGGTCTACTTGCTAGGCAAGGTGTATGTGGCCAACGCAGGTGACAGCAGGTATGGGGTGGGAGCTTTAAAAAAGGCTGTGGGGGGGGATGGAGGAATAGAAGAGAATGAAGTGGTGGGTGTTAAAAATCAAAGACTAGACGGGGTCAGGAGGGATCACAGACATAAGGAATGGCTTGAAATAACTATGAGGGGAAAAAAAAAACAAGGTCTGGGTGAGGGACTCTGAGGGCGGGCCTTGTCTTTTTGGAATTCTTCATGTGAGGGGGCTGAGGAGAGCCAAGTCCAAACCTTTTCTTTCTCTGGGCAGAGCCATCATTGTCCGGAATGGTGAAATCATTCCAATGTCCCGGGAGTTCACCCCGGAGACTGAGCGCCAGCGTCTTCAGCTGCTTGTAAGTAAGAACCAACCCCCCTGCTCCCATTCCTTGTGGAGTTTTGTGCCTCTCTGTACCACCAGGTCCCAGGGACTCGCCCACCCTCACCACACAGACAGAAGGCTCCTTACTGGAGCTTACTGGGAAGGCCCCTTCACAGACTAAGGAGTGCAGGGCTGGGCTGGTGTGGAGGACACAGGAGGAAGGAACATGGGCTGCCCCAAAGCTCCCACTGTGGCCCCCCACTGAGGAAGGAAGTGCAGTCAGAGGTGGGGAAAGGAAACAGCAAAGGCCCCTAAGCAACAGGATGGCTTGATGCTTTAAAGCAATGGCTTAGGAGCTGGGCTGCCAAGGATCAAATCCTGGTTTCAGTACTTTGCTAAGATTGTGTGATCTTCGACAACTCCCTTAGCTTCTCCATGCATCGGGAGTTCCTACCTTAAAGGCTGTTATGAGGATTAAATGAGTTAATACATGTTAATGTGAAAACAGAGCATGTTACAGAGTAAACTCCCCTTAAAGTAAAAAGTGTTAGTCGTTCAGTCATGTCTGACTCTTTGGGACCCCATGGACTGTAGCCCACCAGGCTCCTTCATCCATGGCATTCTCCAGGCAAGAATACTGGAGTGGGTTGCCATTTCTTTCTCCAGGGGATCTTCCCGACCCAGGGATTGAATCCAGGTTTCCCACCTGAACTCCACTTAAGGGTCTGCTATAATTAACATCATCTGTACACCAGGATGTGCTGTAAACCTAATGCCCCCTGGCCCTCTGCTCTCTCTGGTGACTCCCGACCCCAGGGCTTCCTGAAACCAGAGCTGCTGGGTGGTGAATTCACCCACCTCGAGTTCCCCCGCAGAGTTCAGCCTAAGGAGCTGGGGCAGAGGATGCTGTACCGGGACCAGAACATGACTGGCTGGTAACACTTCCCTCAGAGCTGGGGCCCGTTTCCATGGCAACACAACCAGTCCCTGGCCAGTAGCAAGGTGGAAGCTGGAGGCCGGGCTAGGCTGGGAGTTGGTGGGGGGTGGTGTGTGGCCCTTCTTAAGGGGTTTGTCTAAGGGGTGTGGCTCCTAGGGGAGAGGGGCTTTGATGCCTGGGTGATGCCTCCTCTACTCCCCCCTCCCCAGGGCCTACAAAAAGATCGAGCCGGAGGATCTCAGGTTTCCTCTGGTCTGTGGGGAGGGCAAAAAGGTAAACTCCATGGTAGAGGTGGGAGAGGGCAGGAGGACCCACCACAACTTGTCTAGGGAGGTGGAGGTTCTACCTGAGGGTAGGGGTGGAGAGGGTCCATGGTCCCAGAGACTCGGAATGGGGCTAGAGCAGCACGCCCTCCTCATTTTCTTTAGGCTCGAGTGATGGCCACCATTGGGGTGACCCGGGGCTTGGGGGATCACAACCTCAGGGTCTGCAGTTCTACCCTGCCCATCAAACCCTTCCTCTCCTGTTTCCCTGAGGTGAGCCACACGGGAGCCTCCTTGGCCATACCCTCCCTCCTCTGGGGGTCTCGGGCTAGCTTTCCCCCGAGGTTGCTTTATCTCCACGCTCCCTCTGCGCCCTCTTTCCCCACCAGGTGCAAGTGTATGACCTGACGCAGTATGAGCACTGCCCAGATGATGTGCTGGTCCTGGGGACAGATGGGCTGTGGGATGTCACCAGTGACTGCGAGGTAGCTGCCACTGTGGACAGGGTGCTGTCGGCCTATGAGCCCAATGACCCCAGCAGGTAGGGGCTGTGTGGTGGCAAGGGGATGACGATGGGGAAGGAAGGGACAAAGGGGAGCGATGCTGGGGGACCCACATGAGGGCCTGTGCACCCATCTCCCCGTAGACGTGCTGGTACATGAATGTGCACCTGTGCTCCTGGCAGGTACACCGCTCTGGCCCAAGCTCTGGTCCTGGGGGCCCGGGGCACACCCCGCGACCGTGGTTGGCGTCTCCCCAACAACAAGCTGGGATCCGGGGATGACATCTCAGTCTTCGTCATCCCCCTGGGAGGTCCAGGCAGTTACTCCTGAGAGGCTCAAGCCCTGAACCTCCCACCACCATCCCAGCCTGTTCATACTTACACCTCTCCCAACCCAAATTCCGAAGTTGTTTCCCTGACCTTCTTTAGTGTCAACTTAACTGAAGAAGGGGTGCCAGTTAGATCTAAAGTTATAGCTCTTGGCAAATAAACCAGATGAATAAAGATGTGTGTCTTTATTTACTTTGACTTATAACTGAAAGGTAAGGAAAATCTCCTTGGGGTGCTGGAAAGAACTCCAGAAGAGCCCTAAAAATGTAATGTTCCCAGGCTCTTTCCTCTGCTCTTCCCACTTCATACACTTGCATCCTGTTCTGTGGCTTCATCCTAGAGCTGGTGTCTTCCAAGGCACCATTTCCAGTCCAGACTTTTCCTGAGCCTTAGACCTACATATCCCAGTGGTCTTCCAAACAATCCCCTAGATATCCCACAAGCACTTCAACATTCCTCCAAATGAATCCATCATTTCTCCCACAAATACATCCTTCTCCTGGCTCTATCTCAGGGGTCATTAGCTCAGCTACTCAAATTAGAATTCTTGGAGCTGATCACCTTTGGCTTCTGTTTCTCCCTCATCAAGCTAATCAATTGGCTTCTGTTTCTCCCTCATCAAGCTAATCAATCATAAGTATTGATGATTAAATATTTTACAACATATTTCTATTAGGTGGCCCAGTAGTAAAGAATCACCTGCCAATACAGGAGACACAAGAGATGTGGGTTCCATCCCTGGGTCCGATACCTGGGTCAAGAAGAGCCCCTGGAGAAGGAAGGAAATGGCAACCCACTCCAGTATTCTTGCCTGGGAAATCCCATGGACAGAGGAGCCTGATGGGCTATACTCCATGGAGTCGCAGAGTCAGACATGACTGAATGACTGAGCGCGCGCGCGTGCACACACGCACACGCACACACACACACACACACACACACACACAGAGTCACTACTGTAGTCCTTTAGTATATAAGCCTCCTAACTCATCTGCTGATTTTATTTCCAAGCCACTTCTCTGCTTCCCCAGTAAAGATTACACACAGCAGCCAGGAAGCTGTTTCCATCATGTGGATCTAAGTTGGTGATTCCTCTGAGAGACTACTTCAGTGGCTCCTTACTGCACCTGGACCAAACTCTTAAGCGTGGCATACAAGGACCTTCATGATCTGGCCACTGCTTCCTTCTCTAGCCCTGTCTTTCTCCACCACCACCCTCTTGGGATTTCCACAACTCTGTGGGTCTAGAGTAGCTCCAACATGTTTAAAATCAATGCATCACCCCAACTTGAACACTTCTGTTCTTCCACAGCCCATGCATGCCTGCACTATAGCCCTCGCCTCTTGTACTGTAAATGTCTATATGAGGACTTGGTATAGAGTAGCAGTGAAGTTGGAGAAGGAACTGGCAACCCACTCCAGTGTTCTTGCCTGGAGAATCCCAGGGACGGGGGAGCCTGGTGGGCCGCCGTCTGTGGGGTCGCACAGAGTCAGACACGACTGAAGCGACTTAGCAGCAGCAGCAGTGAAGTAGCAGGTTGTTGAAAGTCCTGCTGTTTGGTTCCTGGTGCCAAATCCAACCAAGAAGAAGTCTGCAATCTCTCTGAGCCTCAACTTGCTTTTTGGAAAAATGGGCATTACAGTACTACCTCACGAGGTGGTTACAGGACTAATGTAGTTCATGTATACATAGCCCAGTCTATGTAATAAGGGTTCAATAACTATTACCTATCTTTAATTTGTATTCTGAATTTAGATTGCAAGTTCTTTGAAGATAGAAACTGAGCTGAACTGAATACATAGCTAGGTCTATTGAGCCAGTTAAGAGGATTGGGACCAAACTGCTGTGGACCTGTTTCCTCATTCAGCAGATGTGTGGGTTGCTTGTCAGATCTTCAAAGTCTGTATGACTTGTAACATTCATTCATTCAGCAAACATTTGTTGAAAACCTATTACGTGCCACACATTGTGCCAGAAAGTGCGAAGGGACAGATTGAAGGATCACAGTGGGCAGCAGGGAGAGAGACCAGCTTTGGAGCCAGACAGGCCTGACTCTCTTGAGATTTTTGCTCTGCCATGGACATATGGCAAAATTTGGACAAGTCACTGAACTTGCTGAGCCTCAGTTTCCTTACAGGTAAAAGGATGTGTATACTTAACCCCAAAATCTGTGATGACTATTAAAAGCTATGTAGTGTACCCTGCACAAGCTAATAAAATGTAAGTAGACTTCCTCATCCTCCATTCACTTCCTCCTGTACCTTTCAGGGAAAAAGATAACGTGTTGGTAAATACCCAACACACAACTCAGACCAGGCTAGGTGTCCCTGTGCTGTGTGTGTGCTGTGCTCTGTCCTGTCTGGCTCTTTGTGACCCCATGGACCGTAGCCCACCAGACTCCTCTGTCCATGGGATTTCCCCAGGCAAGAATACTACAGTGGGTTACCATTTCCTCCTTCAGGGGATCTTCCTGACCCAAGGATCGAACCGCCTCTCCTGCCTGTGTCTCCCGCATTGGCAGGCGAATTCTTTATCACTTGAGCCACCTGGGAGGTGTCCCTAGAGGCACAGAAATAAGACAGTGAGGGTGCGAACTGAATTCTTAGCTGGGGAATCCAGAAAGATTTCCAAGGATGCCCTTTGAAGGATGGGTAGGAGTAGGAAATTCCGGGTAGGGGGACGGAAGGGAATTGCAAGGTGGAACCAAGTGCCCCTGAATCTCAAAGGTTCTGAAAGGTCTCCGAGGCTGCGGGATGATGGTGGGCTGTACTTACTGCGCAACGATTCTAAGAGGGTGGGGGTTTTCCGCAGCCCCTTCCTCCGGCGTCCCCGAAGCCGTCTTTCCCAGTCCCGCCTCCCACGGGACACCACCCAGGTGGTGTAGGCGCGGGTGGCCGCTCAGCCACGGGAGGGCAGCAGCGGCCTTTTCCTGACCCCACCCCGGGCGCCTCTGAACTTTCCCGACGCTGGTCCGCCCGTAAGAGCTGGAATGTGGCGCTGAGGCAGAGTCTTCCCCGGTCCAGTTCGCCGCGCCTAGCCCCGCCGCCCGCTTCTCCGCAGTCCAGGCATCTCCCGGACCCTGAGGGCCAGCGCTGGGCTACCCGCTGGGGCCGTGGGCGGGGGCCGGGGGCGGGCGGAGCCAAGAGCCGCTCGGCCCACCCCTCCCGGCCAGTCGCCCCTCCCCGCCGCGGCGCTGGGGGAGGGCGGGGCGGCGGGCCCCGCGGGTCAGTCTCTGCCTCCCGCACCCGCAGCGCAGCTGGAAGCGGCGGAGCGGAAGGTACCCTGGGTTGGGGCTGTGGGCGGCGGGGTCCTGGGCATTGGTCCCCGGCAGAGCACTTTCCCTCTTCTCCGCTTGGCTGGAGCTCGGGGCGCCCGCTGGGGAGGGGCTTTGGCCCGAGCGCGGGCCCCTTCCCTCCCCTCGTACGCGGCGTCTGGGCGGCGCGGGGATCCGGACGGCTCGGCCCCTCCCTGCCTTCCTGGGCTACCGTGAGGGGCGCCAGGAATTGTCCCGCAGGGCCTCACGCCTCTAGGTGTCCGAGTCGAAGTCCGTTGCCTTCTCCCGGCTTCCCAGAACCTGCTCGGCAGGGCGAGGAGAAGAGGGGGCAACTTGGGTCTCCTCGAGGGGGCTCCTGCGCAGATGCTTAGCTCTCAGGTCTGGCGGCCCGCAATGGACCTTGGCTGGGGTGTGAGTTGAGGCCCGAGTCCGGCTTGAGGTGGGAATTCCCCCACGCCGGGCCTGTGAAGTGGCAGGAACAAGGGTGGGGTGTGACCGCGGGGGCTGCCACTGCTCCGGGGGTCTGGACCTCGCCCAGCCTGGTTTCTGGAGCAGGCCTGGAGTGGAGGTACGGAAAATTGGGAAGGATCCAAGCTGTGTGTGTGTGTCTGTGTGTGTCTGTGTGTAAGCTCTGTGTGTGTGTGTGTGTGTGTGTGTGTGTGGCTAAAGAGTATCCTGGGGGTTTGGCCTGGGGGACCCGATGCCAACTCACTTCTGGTTTTCAAGTCGAGGAGGAGGTATCTGATTTCTTCCCTAGGCATCAGGGGTGGTCATCAGGGTACATCAGCCCCTGGTTCATCTGGAAAGCTTGAGAACGATTGAGGAGCTGTTTTATCCAAGGGAGGCCCCAGGAGTTCGACTCATACCAGGTCCTGTGGGGTTTGGTTGCCCCTCTTGGAGTCAATGGGGCAGTTCCTTGGGGTTGCCTCTCACAGGGAGCTGTTGTCGTTGCTGTCTTGGCCTTGGGCCTGGTGGCCTGGCCTGGGTCTAGGACTCCTCTGAGCCTGAAGGGAAAGTCTTAATTGAGCTGGGGGAGGGTGTGCTCCAGATCATTCCAGCATGCCCCTGCCCTGGAGTTCTGGCCTCTGACCCGCACCATCTGGTGCTACCTACACTGCCCTGCTGGGGTGGGAGAGCGCAGTGGCAAACTCAGAGCTAGGCAACTGGTATTCACCCCGGTGGTGAATGCCCTCCATCTGTCCATCAACGCTGCCTGTCCCAGATTGGGGCTCCCACAGCCTGTCTTCCCTCAGTTGGATCAATGGAACTTGTGGGAATATGAGGGGGAGTTGGTCACTTGGGTGGAATTTTCAGGAGACCCCCTTTTCTGAAGGATGGTTTCCATTTGTGGAGGAAATCAGCTGGCAGGGTGAACGCCTTCTTGCTTGCCTTTTGGGGTATCAGAGAGCCCCTGCTGTGGTGTTAGAGAGTGGCCGTGTGCTCAACTCCTATAAATTCCGTCTGATTCACATCCGCTTCCCCTCATCCCAGTGTTGTGCATGCGTGTGAGGAGGCGAGGGAGGCCACCCGGGATCCCACTGTTGAAGAGAACTTGCCTTGGGCTGTAATATTCGCTTCCTAAAAGGCAGGGCCAGGCTGTGAGGTGGTGGTGGTGGTGTGTGGGGAGTGCAGGAGCTCAGCCTAGTTTGACAGGATGTGGGACTGAGAGAAAAAGCCAGGTTTGGGGCAGAGATCAGGTTACTGTCCCCTTCTTTCTTAACCACTCCCTGTGTGGCTGGCGCTGGAATTGGCCTTCATTTGTCTCCCTTTTGGAGTTCCTCCCAGCGCCGGCTTCGGCTCCCGCTCCCGCTCCTCCCCACAGCCTCGATTTCATCTCAGGCCCGAAGCCCGCCCTCTCTTCCCCCCAGATTGGGGGCCTGGGAACTCCAGCCGGCTGGAGGTCAGCTCCTCTCCCCAGGGAAGGAGGAAGTGAGGCTCAGCTTCAGGGGCAGAAACAAACTGGCAAGGTGTGGTGAACTGGGCAGCTGCCCTTCGGCGTGCGTTGGGGGCGGGGGACACATGGAAACCCCGGGAAGCTGACTCCTGGCCCTGAGTCACAGGGAGGGGTGGGCAGGGCCTCAGGGTGAGCTGGACAGAGGGGAGGAAGGGGCCGTCCCAGGGAGTGGGTGGAGGTGATTCCCTAGTGGACTATTCTCAGTCGCTCTGCTGTGGTAGATGTGTGGCTCCCTACAGTGTGGTCATTGTCCCCTGCCTGGGGCTGAGTGACCCAGTGTTGCTGCCAGGCCCAGGAGGAAGGGGGGAGGCAGGCAGCCTGCCCAAGTGTGGGCTGTGGGCACTGCCTGGACTGAGGCTCCTTTGTGTGACGCGGGGCCCTGGGGACTGGGATGGGGTGGGCCAGGGAGGCTGGCTGGCTGCTGCCGCTGCCCTCCGTCTGGGTTCCCCCTGCTCTGCTCTCCTTCCCACCTCTGGGGTGATAACGTAGAAAAGCAACAGACTAGTTACACAGCCCTACTCTGAGTGCCTTCCTTGCAATGACTCCGAATTCCTCTTAGCCTCCATGAATCTCACTTTCCTAGTTTGTCAAAACGGGAAGCTCACTACCTTCCAGGCTTCTGGGGACAGAGGTGATTTTTGTCAAAATGTCCACCATAGAACCTGGCACCTGTTGTTTGGTCGCTATGTATTTGACTATTTTGTGACCCCATGGACTGCCAGCCTCCTCTGTCTACTCCTCCCTCTGGAGTAGGTAGCCACTTCCTTCTCCAGAGGATCTTCCTGACTCAGGGATTGAACCTGAGTCTCCTGCATTGCAGGCAGTTTCTTTACCACTGAACCACCTGGGAAGCCCTACCTGGCATCTAGGGTATGATAAATAGTCTTTCCTTACCCACCCATATCAGTCGGACTCTTTCAGTGGGCAGGCATGATTTGTGTTGAGGGACAGTGTGTTCAGTGTGTTCCAGATTGGACCTTTGTAATTATTAATCTTTTGAAAGTATTGAAATCCTGGTAACATTTAAGTCTGACTTGAAACTCTGATATGTAGAATAGATAAAAACTGGCTTTTCTGGAGACACCCCTGGTCCCTGAGCACCCTTCAAGGTGTCCAGGGGCCCACAGTTGGTGAGTGGATTAGATTAGAACTCATGCTCTCTTGGTTCCCAAGTGGGTGGTTCTTCTTGTGTATTCTAACCCATGGGGGAGACCTGTCCCTGACCTTGAGATTAGGAATTTCAAGCTCAGTTGCCTGAACAATTGGTTCTTGGCAAGAACATGCCTGAGCAAGCTCTTTTCCCTCCGTCCCCTCCTTTTGTTGGATACCTCGGTTTCCAGGGAGGTCTTGGGGGCCCCAGAGAAGTGTTTTTGGATTCACTGGCTTTCCCCAACATCCCTGCTGCCTCTTCCCTGCCAGCCCTGGCCATGGCTGCCATCCGAAAGAAGCTGGTGATTGTGGGGGATGGGGCCTGTGGGAAGACCTGCCTCCTCATCGTCTTCAGCAAGGATCAGTTCCCAGAGGTCTACGTCCCTACTGTCTTTGAGAACTACATCGCAGACATAGAGGTGGATGGCAAGCAGGTAAAGGCAAACAGCCCCCTTCCCGTCTCACCTTGGAACCCCACCCGCCGCCATCACTTGGGGACCTAGAATGTCCGTCCTTACCACCTACCCATGTCCTGGTTTTACTCTCCGTGCTGGAACCAGTGAGAAAGTTAGGAAGTGAAGTTGCAGTCTTAGAAAATCCGGATAATCTCCTGTTTTTTTTTTTTCAACACACTGGCTCTGTAATCGGTCCAATTCCTTTGCCTCTGGGCTTAAGTTCCCCCAAATGTAAAATGGGGAAATGGTAAGGTTGCCTTCGAAGGGTTTTTATGAAGATTAAGTAAAATAGTGGTGCTCACAATGGCAACTCAGACTGCACAAAGATCAGTCTGTCTCAGGATTTAAAAGACTCACCTTGTTTGTGGTGTGTGACAAGGATGAGCACTGTCCCTGGCACACAGTAGTGCTCAATGGGTAGATGCTCCGTGAACCTAAGGGACGGTGATCTCAGGACCTCCGGGTGGCGAGGCTGTGTGTGTGACTGGGGCCCTCAGGCTAGCTAAGCACTGGCCCTGTGTGTCAGGTGGAGCTGGCTCTGTGGGACACAGCAGGGCAGGAAGACTACGACCGCCTGCGGCCTCTCTCCTACCCGGACACTGACGTCATTCTCATGTGCTTCTCCATCGACAGCCCCGACAGTCTGGGTGAGGGTGTTGGAAGGAGGGGGCTGAGAACCTCTTGGAAACAACCAGAGGGAGCGCTTGCCTGGGCTCCTCTCAGTCATCTTCAGAGGCTGTGGGGGTGGGTACTGGGGAGCCCCTTTAGCCTCTGTGGTAGCTCCGGCCCTCAGAGGACTTGGGAACATGTGTACCGTGATGGGGAGGGGTTTTGAGCTGTGAAAGGGACTCTCACGCTGAAGAGCCTCTAAGACTCGGCCATGGGGAATACAGGACTCAGGGAGAGCCTTCTAGCCTAAGTGCAGGCACAAACTTAGGTTTGTCTATCATCCACTGTTGGGACATGTCTGTGCAGAAAACATTCCTGAGAAGTGGACCCCGGAAGTGAAGCACTTCTGCCCCAATGTGCCCATCATCCTGGTGGGGAATAAGAAGGACCTGAGGCAAGATGAGCATACCCGGAGAGAGCTGGCCAAGATGAAGCAGGTGGGTGTCACCGCCAGGCTGGGAGCCTTTGGGGAGGGAGGCACCCTCTGAGGGCGTGCAGGCTGGTAAAGGAGCCTCCCTCCTACTGACTGTTAGAGGTGATGGTGGGGTCCACTTCCTACCCCCTTGCACCTTGATGAGAGAGAACCAGTGATATTTGATGAAAGTGACGTGGACAAAGTGACTTGTCTAAGGTCACTTGGCATTTTGTCTGTTGTCCAGAGTTTGGCATTGGGGCTATTAAGATGAGTAAGAAAACTGCCGCCCTCAGGGAACTGGGTTCCTACAATAGATGTTTTGCTTGGGGTCTCCTGGGTTCACACCAGGAGGTGTGAACTGACATGGACATGGGATGGGGAGGGTATTGGAAGCAGCTGGGGAAAAGGCCCAGGCCCAGACTGAGGGAGCTGGCTCATTTGTGTACCTAGAAGTGGCTTTCCAGCCATAGGATGAGTTAATTAGGGAGAGCTGCCAGGATAGGAGTGTGGACAGTAGAATGAAAAGAATACTTTGAGGATAATTATGGCAAGATTTTAAACTGGGGACATATACGGTCAGGTCAGCACGTGAGAAAAATGATTCTGGCAGCCGTAGAGGATGGATGGGAAGAAGGTGAGAATGGAGTACCGTGGGATATAGGGCTGGCTGATAGAATTTTGAAGGTAAACATGAGTCTTGGGTCTCTTGCTTAGAAGCTGCCCATGGTGGCTGGGGCTTGGGTGCTTTGAGGGAAGGGGGCTGGAGTAATTATTTGTGCTAGTTATAAATACAGATGAGATGCACCTAACCAGCAGCTTCCTCTGACCGCTGTCTGTCTTCCTTCCCAGGAACCTGTTCGATCTGAGGAAGGCCGGGACATGGCGAACCGGATCAGTGCCTTTGGCTACCTTGAGTGCTCAGCCAAGACCAAGGAGGGGGTGCGGGAGGTATTTGAGATGGCCACTAGGGCTGGCCTTCAGGTCCGCAAGAATAAGCGCCGGAGGGGCTGCCCCATTCTCTGAGATCCCTAAGACCTCCCCTCCTTCCTTCAGGAGGTTGCAGAAACTCCCTCTGCCCTCTGTGACCCCACCCTATGAGGGATCCTTGCTGAAGGCTCCCTTTCCCAATTCCCTCCTGCCCAGGACTGCATTGAGTTTCCCCAGCCCTGACACTGGTGGCTGTAGGCACGCCCCCTCCCACCAGCACCCTGGGAACAGAGGGGTATGTCCTGCCCCTCGGAGCACAGGCCCTCCTCCTGTTGCCTCGGTCCTTGGGTGGGGCTCTTGATCCCTTTGGCCTTCCCCAGAGGATCATCACACCAGCACTTTATATACTTCCTGCTCACAACAGATCTGGGGTAGGAGACTTGGCAGGTGTAACCGAACCCCAGGCCCGTGGTGTTTCTGCTTTGGGCAGGAGCCTTGTCTCTGGCTATTCTTGGTGTGGGACATGAATAAAGGCCACAGGCTCCAAAGTGTGTGTGTGTGGCTTCCTGACTCTCTCTTCAGGTCCCTGTCTTAGCTGTGAGCCTGGAGTCCCATCTCTCTGAGATGCTCACCAGGGGGCCAGCCCCAGGTCTGCAAAGGCAGGACTCCCGGCTGGCAGGGTGGAGTCTTGGAGAAAAGGATGAGGTCATTCCTGGCTCTGGGCCTTGGAGGCGGGTGAGGGGAGTGGTCTGGAGGATAGGCTAAACTTAGAAGCCTGTGGGTGGCTTCTGTGGCCTCCCATAGGCTTTCTTCCCCTGGAAGGGGGTTGGGGGGATGGGGGTGGGTTTGGCCTTGGGCAGGGTGTGATAGTTCCACCTTCCCCTCTGGGGTCATCTTGAGAGTTTAGAAAGCCCGGGCCTGGCTGAGGAGACAAGAGACTTTGGCAAAGAATAACATTTTTTTTTCAGTGGTACTTCCTCCCCCTTCCCCCACTTGTTAGCAGCCTGTTGTGAGCAGCAGGGGATGGGGTCAGGTGGGCGGTCTTCAGAGCTCATTCCTCCATTCTGGCTCCACTTGCAGGGACAGGCCCCCTTCACCCTCCCGCTCCTGGGGGAGGTAGTCGTGACTTTTGGGTCCTAGAAAGAGAGGGGGTGAGCTTTGTCTTAGTCACTTACCCCGCAGCACTGCCTCCCTTCTGGCCCACCCTGGCCCAGCCATACCTGAGGTAGAGGGGCTGAGTTTGCTCAGATCTTGGAGTAAGTTCTGCCCCTGCTGCAGGTCCAGTTTGGCAGGGAAGGGGCACCCGGTATACCCCCCATTTTCCTTACAGAACTCCAGGAATCTGTGGGGTACGGGAGCATTCATACACAGCTGCACAGGGCTGGCTGAGTGCCGGCAGCGGCTGGAGGCCCAGCCTGGGTCCTGCACACTGGCCTATGTCTGGGGGCAAGTTGCTTAACCTTGGCAAATGGAGATGTTAAGATAAAACAGATGGGAAGATTACCTGAGCCCCAAGGGTGCTTCATAAAACTACAGCTGTCCTAGGCTAGGGGGTGGCATTACTGACTCAGTGGACATGAATTTGAGCAGACTCTGGGAGATAGTGAAGGACAGGGAAGCCTGGTGTGTTGCAGTTGAGGGGGTCTCAAAGAGTCGGACACGACTTAGTGACTGAACAGGCTTGTAGCCATCAAGAGGGACGGAGGGTGGGATGCTCACACTTTCCAGTCCGGGTCGTGGCCCAGCAGGAGCGGGTTGCCCACCACGATGAGCAAAGCCTTGGCCCGGGTCACTGCCACATTGAACCTCTGGTGAGAAGAGGTGGTGGGGGTCACAGCAGGGAAGGGCCCCCTGGAAGGAGGAGTGCCCACCAGCCCACCAGCCCTCCAACCTTGGGGTTCTTGAGGAAACCCAGGTTAAAGTCCAGATCCAGCTGCACGAAGCTCTGGCTGCTCCGCACGGTGGAGATGAGGATGACGCTGCGTTCCTGGCCTTGAAACTCTTCTACAGAACCCACCTAGAGGGGAGGGAGGCAGGGCCGGAGGCACTCAGCAGGGGACCAGAAACCTGCCCCGCCTACCAGAGCCTGGGGACAATTGTTACAGTGGAGGGAGCCAGCGAAGAGGAAAGGACTATGCTGTGCTAGCTGAAACCTGAAAAGTGAATCCAGTTACAGTGGTGGGAACTGGAAAGGCTTCTAAGCAAAGAGAACAGGATTCCAAAGAATACTAACTCGGCAGAGTTTTTCAGACTTTCCTGAAGATAATCACTCAGTACTTGTTTAAGTAACTCTAGTAACTTGTTAAGTAACTCTAGGCCCCAGAAAGCCTGAATCAGAATTTCCACCGGAAAGGCCTCTAATTCCTAAAGTGCCCATTTTCAACCCTGATCACCTGAGGAGCCATAAAGGACCACTGGCCTGGCTCTGCACCCAGATAGCTGTGTTAATTGGTTGGGTGGAACCCTGGCGCTGGCAGCACTAAAAGCTCTCCAGGTGATTCTTATCTCAGAAAGAGTGGAGCTGGCTGTCAGCTGACTCAGGGTGGGACAGGTGAGTGAGGACGTCATCACAGGACAGGTCTGGCTGGATAGGGAGACTGGACTTTATCCTTAGAGCAAAGACTTTAAACCAGCCTGATCCTAAGAATCCTTCAGGGTAATTGCTTAAACACACAGGCTTCCTGGCCCCAGCCCAGACCTGTAACTTGGGATCTCCAGCAGGGGAAAGCCCAAGTTGGTCTCAGGCAGTGAGGGTGGGGCAGGGACTGGGGCTGTTCCATCCCAGGAGCAGTAGGGCAGGGACCCAAGCAGGTGTCTGGAAGTGGGGGAGCGAGGGAAACAGAAGTCAGGGAAGGAGTGTGAAACAGTGGTGAGGGTCACCTTCAAGTCCTTGATGTCGTCTAGTCCCCGAAGCTCCTTGTCAAGTTTGGTGATGCAATAACGGATTTTTTCCACCTGGAAGATGGGGACAGGTGCCTTTCTCTCCTGCCATTACCCCAGCACAAGAGGGAGCCAGGCAGGAGGCCAGGGAGCTGGGGGGCAAAGAGGAGGTACAACTGACCTCTGAGCTTGTCTGAGATATGGGGCCAGCAGAGAGGCCTGAGCTGGAGCCCCTGCCTAGTGGTCTGGCTAGGTATGGGAAAGTTCCCTTGATGGGAACTGAGGGCCTGACCTGCTTCCGGTATGGGGAGATGACGCCCACACTTCGGGGGCTCAGACGGGCTTTGCCCTTCTTGGAGGAGGGGGCCAGGAGCTGTTTCAGGTAGGAAGTCACTGTGGCAGCCTCTTCTGGGTTGAAGAAGGACGGGCTGTTGCCCTCACGCTCATCCTTGCCCATTACACCGTGAAAGATGATGGGAAAGTCCTGGACACAGGGTTAGGGGAAACCTTCAGTTGGACCTCCCTGACTCCCTTCCCTTCCACCCCCAAACCCTTCCAGGGAATGGGGGATCCCAGGTAACAAAGGGCAGGGCTTGTGGCCTCCACTTAGAGACTCCTGCTACCCAGACCCTCAGTAAGAGGGAGGCTGGGGTACAGGTGGGAGGAGCCTGAGCCCCAGCCCCGCTCAGCCTCACCTGTCGAGGCAGACCCTCCCAGCGGCAGAAGCGCTCTCGGTCAACGACATCTGCACAGGCCTGCAGCTCCCCATCATAATACAGCCGGTTAGGAACATCCAGGATGGTGGGGTGAGACCTGGGAGGAGGAGGAGGAGGAAGGAAGAGCAATACCAGACCGGGGCAGGCTCTCCCCTCCACCCACTCACACACTATCCTGTCCTGCCCACTGCATAGCAGACTCATTCAGTTACAGCTTTTGCAACTGGGTACTAAGAGACCTGACTTCGATCCCTGGGTCGGAAGATACCCTGGAGCACGAAATGGCAACCCACTCCAGTATTCTTGCCTGGGAAATCCCATGGAGAGAGGAGCCTGGTGGGCTACAGCCCATGGGGTCGCACAGAGTCGGACATGACTGAGTGGCTAACACACACAGAGTTAAGCAGAGAAAGCAGAACCAAATGTGGCTCCAGAAAGCATCCAGTCCACAGACTTCAAATTTAAAAGAAAACACCAAGAAATCAGGGACCCATTCTCAAAGTCTCAATTTTGCCAAGGAAGGATAACACAAAATCATGCATCACCGACTATCACCATTACTGGATGAGATCATGTGTTTAAATCCAAAAATATGGAGAAGGAAATGGCAACCCACTCCAGTATTCTTGCCTGGAAAAGTCCATGGACAGAGGAGCCTGGCGGGCTACAGTGCATGGGGTCACATGACAGCATGTGTGCATGAGGGTGGAGGGAGATGGGTTGGTAGCAATAAACTGGTAGAACTAAAAAAAAAAATCCCCAAATACAAGCAGCACTAACACAACAGCTAACATTTATTGCATTCTTAGTGGACTCATCTAAGGAACTAAAGATTCTTAGAGGACTAAGCTAGGAACTCAACTGATCATTTCAGATGCAAGAACTCACTGACTAAAGGAAGTATACAGCTCTTTAACCTGAATAATCATTGTCTGTATTATTCTCATTTCTCCTTGGATTGCCTAGAAACTTCTCCTGGGACCTGCCTCAGACACATTCCAGTGTCTGGGAACCCTTGACCATCCTCTGATATACAAATAGGCAAACTGCTCTGGAGTGAGGGCACTTGCTAAGTCACACCACCTACAAACAGCAGTGACGGGACTGCGGAGACCTTCCAGTTTACAGCCTTTCTGCACTGTGTAGTCTCTGAGCAACAGGACTGGGATGGAGGCTAAGCTGGGCTGGTGGGGGGTGTGGGCTACCTGTAGTTGCGCAGCAGCTTGGTTATGAACTGGGGGTTATAGCCATCTGGGCCCTTCTTGTACAGGGCGTTGAAGGTGAGCAGCCGCTCCAGCAGTGAGTACCCCAGCCCATGCTTCTGGGTCAGCGGGCAACGCAGCACAGGCCCCAGCTGCCGGGGGTCTCCTGCCAGCACCAGCTGCCCTCCTGGGTTGTCTGCTTCCTTGACTTCCATCAGCCCTGGAAAGTGGGGGGATGATGGGGAGAAAGGTGTGTGGTGGGACCTCTCTGACGCCATGTGGGGCCTACTTGCAGCCCCCTCAAGCCCCTCACCTGCTATGGCCACCAGGCTCTCTGGCTCCATGGCATGGCCAGCCTCGTCGATGAAGATGTGTGTGAAGTGATCGATGGGAAACTGGGCCGAGACCAACCTGGGAGGTGTCAGGCCAGGCAGGGGTCACACCCAGATTGTCAAACCTGAATGCATACCTAGGCCAGCCCTCTCCGCAACTCCCCAGGAACCATCCTTCCCCATTTTCCCGGCCTGCCACCTCTTTACTTAACACACTATTAAGAGATACACACACACACACTTCCCACCTGCTGGCAGTGATGAGCGTGGTAATTAAGACGCGATATTCCTGCAGCTTCTTCTTTGAAGGAAATACAAAATCTCCCTTCTTTGCATCCCAGTTACAACAGGGCTGAGGGTTGGGCAGGGAAAGGAGTCAGCTTGGCTCCACCACCAATTTCACCCTCACTCTGGCTCTGGGGCCCCCAGGCAATTTTATTTACTTTCTCTCACTTTACACACAACTGAAACTGAAGCCCAGAGAGAGCACCTGACCCACCCAAGGTCACACAGTGAGTATCTCAGAATGCAGGTCTCCTAGTTTCCTGACCCTAGTGTTTACCCAGAGCAGCACCCGCTGGCCCTCGGCTGCTGGCCTTCCCCAGGTACCTTGATGTCCTCAGGGACCAGGTGGATATCCCTGCTGGGCGCCAGGAGGCGGTAGATGGAGCTGGGCAGGTGGACCCGGAGGCGCTGACAGAGGAGATCGGCCCCTGAGTTGGACGGAGCGCAGGCCAGGATGTGGGCTTTGGGCAAGTGCTTCACCACCTGGGGTGGGGATAAGCACAGTGTGGGAAGCAGCTTCTGGTCTCCGGGTGGGGGTTGAGGGGTGGGGGGCGGTGCAGAGAAGTGTGGTTGTGACTCAGGCTGGCACAGTGTGGCATCTCTCTCCCATTGCTAGGGAGGGAGTGACTAAAAAGGCAAGTTCTGATCCCCAACCCACTGCAGTCTAAACAGGACTTTATGCTAGAAAACTGCTGCAGTAAATATAAAAGGCTACCATGACTGATGCTGAAGCTCCAACACTTTGGCCACCTGAGGCGGAGAGCTGACTCACTGGAAAAGACCCTGATGCTGGGAAAGATAGAAGGCAGGAGAAGGGGATGACAGAGGACGAGATGGTTGGATGGCATCACTGACTGAATTGACACAAGTTTGAGCAAGCTCTGGAAAATGGTGAAGGCCAGGGAAGCTTGGCGTGCTGCAGTCCGTGGGGTCAGTCCTACACGGCTGAGCGACTGAACACAACAAAGACAGAGACATGAACTGCAGCATGAGCCGTGCAATATTAAACGTGCACACAGTGCTCAAAGCCACACTGGCCCTTGGTGCCAGCTAGCTGGAGGGAAGCAGAACCTGCGGACAGCTGCTTGGTTCCAGGGGGACTCAGAATGTAGGCCATAGACTGTAGGCTCAGGCCCCACCTGCTTGATGGCTTCCACTAGGGTGACAGTCTTGCCCGTGCCCGGAGGCCCAAAGATGATGTAGGGGGCGGGGCGGGTGGTGCCCATAACGATGTGCTTCATGGCCTGAAACTGCTCTGGGTTTGACTCCAGACTCCGGTCGTACAGCCTGGCAGAGTGCCACAAACATGATGTTGTCAAGTCCCAGAAGCCTCCCTGACCGCATCCCCTACACCCATACTTCAAGTGGCCCTGGAGCCCCTGCCCAGTCTCACTTGAGCTTCACATCTGAGGGCAGCAGCAGGACTCCACGTGAGGCCACCGGGAAGAGCACGGGCTCAAGTGGCCAGCGCCCCGTCAGCTCCAGGGCACGGTGCTGCACCCGCAGGGGCTGGCGGTTGAAAGTGAAGTTCACCTTGAAAGTCAGCCCATCCACAAAGCGGCTCAGGAGGCTTTGGGAAGGGAAAGAGAGGGGGAAGCATTCCAGTAAGGAGGGGTGGGCAATAAAAGGCCAGGACTCTGTCCATCTACCCCAACCCCACTCTCTTTCCTAGACCTCCGAGCAATCCTCTAGGAGAGGAAGCTGCTGAGGCACCTCAGGGTCCCCCCTGCTCTGTCCCTGGGGTCCCGCTCACTCCGGGGAGAAGCACCCTCCTCCCTTGGCCTTTGGGGCCATCTGCAGACCTTCCTATAGCTCAGGGTTCCCTCAACACCTACTTGGTGGAAAAACTCAGCTTGACCCGGTCCAATTCCACCTTGTGCACAAAGCCCTTGTAGGTGACAGGGTCCTCGTGATGTGTCTCGGAGGACAAAACAGCAAATAGGTGGTCACCCCGCAGCACGGAGGGGCGGCTCTCAGCCACCCCAGGAACCTAGGAAGCAAAAGCACCAGCAAGCTTCTAGCCCGAGATGATCAGTGGAAGGCCCACTGAGACCCCCGCTCCTGAGACACAAGGTCTGACGATCCACCTCTACCCTGGGGTTCAGGGAGCTTTGCTTCTTTCCTCTTCCACCAGGCAGGGCAGGAGTCAGGGGAGATGGGGAAGGGACAAGTTTGCCCAAGGCGCTCAGAGATGCTGAGAGGAATCCTGGCAACCCTCCAGGGCACGATTTCAAAACCCAGGGGTCAGCTTCCCAGTAAGTCCACCTGCCCTCTTGGCCAGTTCAGTTTCTACTCTGCCTTTAAAATCTTGTTAAAAAAAAAAAAAAATCTTGTTCAAAAGTCAGTTCCTGCAGGAAACTTTCCCTGATCATCCTCACTTGCTATCTCTTCTCACTTGGTGCCTTTCTCAGCACATGGGTGCAGGAATCCGTTCTCATGTGCAATTCTGGACTTATGTATACACACTCAACATCTGAGAGCTGGAGAGGTCTCTAAGAATTATCTTCCGGACTTCCCTGGTGGTCTAGAGGTTAAGAATCCACCTTCCAATGCAGGGGACTCAGGTTCGATCCCCAGTGCGGGGGAACGAGGATCCCACATGCTGCAGGGCAACTAAGCCTGCACCCTGCAACAAGAAAAGCCTGCAGACTGCAATGACGATCCAGCGCAGCCAAAAAACCCAAACAAATAAACAAAAAAGAACACGAACCATCTAGTTCAGCTCCATGCTTTTCAGGAGAGCGAACTAAGGCCCAGAGATAGCCAAAGACTTGCCTAAGGTCACAGAGCCAAGTGATAGCAAAGTCTGGGCTAAAACCCTAGTCTTCCCTATTACCCTGCTCTGACACCTCTTTCAGGGGTCCAGATGCCTACTCTGCTCCTTGCCAAGCCTTCTGGGACAGGAACAGCGTCATTATCCTTTTGTTCTGCCCACAGTCTGTGGGCTGGCTAACTTGAGTCCATCCTCCCTACTACCGATCCAAGCCCTGACCTCCAACGTGAGCAGACGGGGGTTCCGGTCTATGGGGTCCCAGGTCATGGGCACCGACTCCAGGTCATAGTGCCGGATGTCGTGCTCCATCTGTAGCTCCTCCAGGTGCAGCAGCAGCCGGAGCTTCACCTCGTAGTTCCTCCACTTCAGGGCTGTCTGCAGCTGGGCCCTGGCAGTGATGGGTGGGGAGGTGGGAGGGGAAGGACAGGAACAGGATGGGTCAGGCAAACCCCACGTCCCGGAGCACCTCTCCCTCTGCAGCCCCGAGACTATGAAAACGTCAGGAATCAGGGAAGACTAGAAGAGCAGAGAAGCAGATGGGGGTCAGGGGCCTCTAAGAAGGCAGTCCCTGCCCGCCAACCTCAGACCTGCGTTGTGGATCCTGGAGCCGGAAACATCCTCTCTCAGCGATCCTCCTATGACTCATACCCTCACCTCATTCAAATGTTATTCTCTGCTCAAATGTCACCTCCTTGAAGAGGCCAGGACGAGCTGTCCTCTGCAAAACAGGACAGCCCACCCCTTACTCTGCTTTAACTTTAGTTAGTTCTTCATAGTACTCATCACTACGCAAGATAAGATGAGAAATGCTCACTTTCCCCAGCTACAATGTCAGGGCCACCACGTCAGTGATTCACCTTGAATGCAGCCTGGCACATGGTGTGTTGGCCAGTAAGGGGGTGAATGAACTGAGCATGGGAGGCCGAGGACAGAGGCAAGGGGCAGAAGCAAGAAGTGAGCAGAAAAGAAACACATAAAGAGTGTGGAGGGTGCAGAGGGATGGTACTTACTTGATCTCAGCAACCTCCTTCGGGGCAGTGAAAATACTTGTTCCCTGAAGGAGAAGGGGGAGCAGCTGTCTGAGGCGGGGGGGCGGGTAGTATGTTCCCAGTGGCAAACTGAACTCCAGGTCATAGTTCTTAGCACTGCAGGAGGGGGACAAGAAAGGCTATTACAAACACAGAGACCCCTCGCCTTCAGAGACTCTGAGAAGGCCCTTCCCTGGGGGATGCACAAAGCCCTGCTTCAGTACTATTGCTGAAAGGGGTCAGTAGCCTTTGCCCTGTCTCATGAAGCTGCTCATGCCAAGACTGGACCATTTTCATTTTTAGAAAGCATGATACTTGAAAGCATTAAAAAAAATTATATATAATATATGGAATTCCCTGGCAGTCTAGTGGTTAGGACCCCACACTTCCATGGCAGAGGGGGGTCTGTCTTTGATCCCTGGTTGGGGAACTAGGGTCCCACAAGCTGTGAAGTTATCTATATACATATACATATATAAACAATACATGTTCATTAGAGAAAAAAAAATCAGAAAATAGGTAATAAATAAATGTGTAAATAAACAACATGCTCACCATCCAGGGATAACCACTGTTAACTTCTTGATATGTAGCCTTCCAGACATTTTTCTTTGTCAACATGTATTATACAAATATATTTTAAGTTAATTAGCCAATTAATTAATTAACTTCTTGGCTGCACTGCATGGTTTGTGGGATCTTAGTTCCCTACGACAGATAGAACTTGTGCCCCCTGCAGTAAAAGTGCGAAGTTCTAACCACTGGACCCGCACAGAATTCCCCTATACATGGGGGAATTCTGCTAAAATTCTGCTAAAAGCAGAAAGAGTGCAGTGGTCTCACAGTTTGCTTTTATAGCTCAGTATTTTGTGAACACCTGGACATGTTAAAAAGAGATGTCTACACATATGATTCCATTCATATGACATGTCCAGAAGACGGAAATCTATAGAACGTACATGAGTGGTTGGTGAGGGCTAGGAGGCGGGGTGGTGGCAAAACGGGGGATAACTAAAGGGTATGCGCTCCTTTTGGGGGTGATGAAATGTTCTAAAATGGATTGAGATGATGATAGGACCTATCTGTGAATATGCTAAAGAAATCACAGAATTGTACACTTTAAAGGAATGAATTGTATAGTATGCAAGTTGTTTCAACAAAGCTGTTATGAGGGGGAAGGGGAGAGAGGGAGAGAGAGAGAGAAACATGACCACCCTGGCTGCCTGACAATCCATCATACAGTCAAAAACACTTGGAACTTTTTCACACTGTCCTTGTATCCTTTCCTTCTTAGAAAAGGTCTCTGAGGTCTGGAAGAGTTAAGAACTCACTGTTAGGAAAGGGGGCTCTGTGTTCTTCCCAAATGCCCACACAGTGATGCGGGGAGGGGACTCCCCCCCCCCCGACCCCGGGGTCTGGGTTGGATGGAGGACTTACCGGTCGGGTCTCTCTCCTTCCTCTATTCGGCTGGTCACCACAGGGTTTCTAGTGACCTGGCGCCGCTTGAAGGGAGTCGTGGGTTTCAGCTGTGCCGCTAGGGGACTGTGGGCCACGGCGGCTAAGAAGCGGGCGATGTAGAAAGTGCCAGCTCCTTCTGAGCCCGGCTCTCCAGGGCCCAGCAGCTCCCAGAGCACTGTGGCTGGGAAGTAGCCCACAAAGCTGGTCTTACAATGAACATGGAGCTCATAGCATTCACCTAGGAGAAGACAGCTGAGTGAGGTGGGTTGGGGAGGGAGCTGCCCAGGAGCATCCCAACCCTGACATCCCCCAGATGGCCCCTACCCCAAGGCAAGCCCCACCAGCCTGCAACAGCACATTCCTGAAGCAACAGACCCTCCTAGGGCAGGCCTCCGCCCACCAGAGGCTCTTTGAGAACCCACTCACCTGGGCCCAGGAGGCAGGGCAGCTCCCGGTCTCCATTGCAGAAGGAAAACTGGGGGGTCCGGCAGAACGGGAAGAGGTGGGTGAGGGTGACAGGCTGGGTTCCTCCATTCCGAAGCCTGAGGGTCAGCACCTCCTTGCGGTTCAAATCCAGGCGGATAAGGAGTTGTCCATCTCGGGCTTCGTGGGGCCCCTGGACTTCCACATTCACCCCATGTTTCCCATGCATATACTCAGCCCTGGGGAGAGCAGGAGTCAAGGGCGGGCAGGGCTGGGGCAGGAGCAGACAGGACTGGGAGTTGCCCTCGGGAAAAATCACAGAATGGGGAGGATGGCCAAGTGCCAGCCATGCTCAGGAAACCCACTCCCCAACTAGCTCCTCCCCTGCCCTCCCCTCAATCCTTGCAGGAAGGAGCCCCCACCCCGCCCCCCACCAAGCCGAGGCAAGCCCCAGTCACACAGTTTCCCACACGCCCAGGCCCCTCTTGCACACCCCATCACACACAAGCACACCTGTCATGAAAGATAGTGGCTAGCAGTGACCTGTGGTGTTTGCTCATTTCCAACCCCGGCTTCATTCTCCTCTTTTCTGGGAACCACACGTCGGCCCAGCGGTCGAGCCCGAAGAACCTGACTCGGGTCTTGGTGACGTAGGCCAGATTGGCAATCTTCATTCCATACAGCATGGAGGAGAAGCCAGGGGCAGGGGTCCCAAAGCTGCCGGGAGCAGAGGAGACTGGGGAGTGAGGGCCAGGGGCGGCAAGCTGGGGAGGGCGTCTGTGTGGGACAGACGGGACAGCAGGACTTTTTAATGTTTTCAGGGAAGGCAAGCGGACCCTCCCCAAGACTAAATGTGATCATTTTAAACAAGCAGCAGGTGGTGGACGTTGCACTTCTGCGGAGAAAAGTCCAATAGTGGGCTGTTGAGATGGAGGACTAAGGGAAGAGAGAGTAAGAAATGAAGATCTGGGGCAGGGTGGGGGCAATTTGGGACAGAAAAGATATAATACTGAAGCAGAAAGAGTTAAGGCAGAGAGGGAAGCCGAAAAAGCTGATTGGTAGGGTGGTGGTGGGGGGTGCATCCCAGGTCCAGCCCGCTGGTGAGGAGTGAGAGGGGCAGAGAGTGCAGGTGTCCAGGGTGTGTGGGCAAGGTGGCTGATCAGACAGCAGTGTCCCCCCGAAGTCAGAGGGTGCAGGTAGAACCCAAGCAGGAAGGGAAAGGATCCTTCTCCAGAGATCAAATAGCTTGTTTGGGCCTAGAGAAGGTGAAGACAGGGAAAACTGGTCAGAAGGACAATAACCCCAAGGTTCAGCGCCTGGAATTCAGTTTAGTCAACTCGACAAACACTTACAGAGACCTGTTATGTGCCAGACACTGTGCTAGATGCTGGGGGTTCAAAGAGGCTTTGAGGAGCATGGAGGGAACACATTAATTCCAGCCCCTGCCTGGAGCTCAGAGGGGAGGAGCTCAGACTTGGCGGCTTCCCAAGGAAACCGCGTCAGAACTGAGTCCTGAAGGATGAATGGGTGTCATTCAAGTACAGGATGGAGCACAGCGTGTGAGCCGAGGTATGGGGGTGCGAGTGGGGTAAGCTGGGGGGACTACCCACTCTGACACTAGCTGGGTCACCTTGGGTTACTGTACCTCGCAGAGCCTCACTTTGCTCCTCTATAAAATGGGGATAACAGCAGACTTATCTCCCGGGGTGGTTGTGTGGATCACAGGAGAGACAGGCACTGCAGTGTCCACTTAGCCCAGTGCTTGGCACATAAGATCTCAGTAAGGCGCACTATGATTAGTATCACATCCAGTCTGGTTGTACTAGAGTGAAGAGTGCAAGGAGGGATTGGCAGGAGGCAGCAGAGGTGGGCAGGGACCAGGTCTCGCATAGTTTTGCATGCCAAGCCATGAAGCCTGCACCTGACCCTGAAGGCCAGCAGCTCTCCTCCTTTACAGGCAATTAAGGGCCAGAGGACATCCCCACATGTGACACGTCATAGACACATTCACGCTCTGGACAGCTGACCACCCTCCCTCCGTGCTTTGAGGGGAATGAAAGCAAATCCTAGTTCCTAGGAACCATGGCCATCCCTGTTGAACTATTAAGGCTCAACCAGCATGGTCACTCACCAGCATAAAATAAGATCATTTATGGTTATGGACATTTCCCTGGTGCCCCCTGCCTATAACTCTGCCCCTCTCCCTCCCTCCATGCAAGTGAGTGATGCCATTCAGAAAACTTTGAATTGGCTCTGATTTGTCTTACAAAGATAGTAAATCATGTGAAAACACAATAGAAAATGCTCAAGAAATGTTAGCTACTATTATTAGTATCCTATTAGTAGTAATAGTAATACTAGTAGCAGCAGTAGTAGTTAAGAGTAGTAACTTACTTCCAGCCTGCACCAGAGGCTACACTGTGGTTACACAACCACCCCATGTTGGTGGGTTTTAAGCAGGGGAGTGGCAAGATCATATTTGCATTTCAGATCACCCAGGCATCAGGAATGGAGGATGGATTTGCTGGAGGCAAGACTGTAGGCAGGGAGACCAGTTAGAAGAAGGCCATTGCAACCGTCCAATTCAAAGTTGACAAGGGTCCGAACAAGGCAGTGGTCAGGATGGAAGAGGAGACAGATCTGATATTTAGAATAAACAATTAGCAGATTTTGGTTTCAGACAGGAGAGCAAATGTAGGCTGGGAAGAGGGAGGAGTCAAGGACAATACCGAAAGCAGTGTCTTGGCTTCAGGGACTATTCCTGAGATAGGAGGGAGACACAGGAGGAGGAGGAGGCTGGAGGGACATATAGATCTGGAGGACATGGTCAATCTGAGATCCCATGGTCCACAGGCAGCTAGCTCCATGAATCAAAAGCTGAGAACTCGGGTCAAAGTCAAAGCAGACCCTAAAAATAGGGAGATGTCAATAGTATTTACAACTATGGAAGTGTTCAGGATCTTCCCAGGGAGTGAGTCGTCTGAGGACCACTGAGGCCAGCACAACCCAGGGAGGAATAGAAAACAGAGCAGGAAGCTCCTGGAGAGGGAAGAGAATCAGGAGGAAGTCTTACAATCAGGTATCAGGCTCAGCTGCTGCTGAGGGGCTGAGGCAAAGGGGCTGAAATTAACCCTGGTAACTTTCACCAGGGCCCCGTGGCCAGTGAGCCATTAAGTTCCATGAATCGGCACACACTCAAATGGCAGCAGACGCCAGACTCCACACCTATCTTTGATACCTGCAGTCATCTCCGGTCCTCGTATAGGACCTGAGTCATTAGCAGAAGGATTACACACGTCCTTCTTAAGTGAATACTCTATGACTCTAACCAGGGGCTTCCCTGGTGGCTCAGGGGGCTTCCCTGGTGGCAAAGAAATCAGCTGCAATGCAGGAAACATGGGTTTGATCCCCGGATTGGAAAGATCCCCTGAATGAAATGGCAACCCACTCCAGTATTCTTGCCTGGAAAATCCTGTGGACAGAGGAGTCTGGTGGGTCACAGTCCATGGGGTCACAGAAGAGTCAGATGCAACTGAGGGACTAAACAAGTCTAAACAAACAAAAGCTCAGGTGCCCTGAAACACCCTGGAGCTCTCAGCTTAGTGGTAGAGAGAAAACAGGACCCTGAGGGGACTGAGCAAACCCAGGAGCACAAATCCTGTCTAAAAGGAAGAAATGCTACTCATTTCTAGAAAGAGGTTACCAGGCCCAAGATGGCCAGATCTGGCTTTTAAGAGAAGCCCAAAGTACAATTTAAAGGTGAAATCGTCCATCTTTGGAAGCTTCTGCATGGACACATGAGCAGGAGGAACTCTGCAAGTTTTACAGCTTCTATGATAGGTGCTATGCCTGTGTGCTAAGTCACATTAGATGTGTCTGACTCTTTGTAACCCCATGGACTGTAGCCTGCCAGGCTCCTCTCTCCAAGGGATCCTCCAGGCAAGTGGGTCGCCATACTCTCCTCCAGGAGAAAGGTACTACCACCTACGTATTAATAGCTTTCAAATTATTCTTCATGTCTATTACCACTACCCAAGTTCACTTGGTCTAAGGTGACAACCATAAAAATTAAAAAAAAAAAAAATAATAATAATTTTTTTTAGAAATCACAAACTTAGTACATACTTGTTGAAAAAAAGCACCAATTCTTGCATTATAAATCTAGTCATTTGGATTTCAAGGGAAAAAAAGATGAACAATTCAATAGAAAAACAGAATATTCAACTTAAAGAGCAAACTGATGACTCAGGGGTAAGAAAAAATACTCCAAAAATAGAGAAATGCAAATGAAAGTAAAAATGAAGTATCATTTTGTTTCCATGAGACTGACAAAAAAGAAGACAGTCACAACATATCTTACTATGTGGGAAAGAAAACTCTCATACACTGCTGATAGAAAGGGGAAATATTACAACCATTTGGAAAACAATCCAGCAACATCTATCTCCTAACATTTGATATGGAGGTATCCTTTAATTCATGGGAATGTATCCATGCAAAAGAAACATACCAACATATAAGAACATATGTGCAAGGAGGCCTATTCTAAAGTCCTTCATATTGGCCAAGAATTGAAAACAAATGTCCATCCATAGGGAGATAGCTGAATAAGCTGTAAACACTCGTACCACAGAATATCAGACAGCTATTTAAAAGAATGCATCACATCCATTTGAAAGACTAAAATGTAAAAGGTTGTCAACACCAAATGTTGACAAGGATACAAAAATACCAGAATGCTCCTGCATTGTTGGATGGACTATAAAACAGTACATCACTGTAGAAAAAGGTTTGATGGTTTCTTGTAAAGCCAAACATAACATAATACTCTGATTTTTAATAAAAATATTATTACATTGTTCATGAAATAAAAATTCATAAAAAATGTAACATCTAGTGTAGACCTACCACTGGTATTTATTCAGTAAGGACTTGCCCGGAGAATGGGTGAAAGAAGTATCAAGCAATTCCAGACTGTTATTTTATAGACGAAACAGGTTAACAATGCAAACACTGAACCTCTGGCTGCCAGCAATACTGTGCGACGGCCTGGAATATCAAGTGTCAGGTTATATGTATTGTCCAAACTTGGACAGTCCAATCGCAGGCAAGGTCACACCAGAAGACCATTCTAAAGAAGACTTTGCTGGCAACTACCAAAAAAAGAGGTTAAGTAATTTGCCCAAGATCATAGTCTTCAGGACATGTATATCTATCAGGGTTTCAAGGTCATTGTTTTCAGTTTGGGGCTATTTTGAATAAAAATGCTATATACATATATATATATATATACATATATATACACACACACATATGCTTCCATGTTGGCTTAGCGGTAAAGAATCTGCCTACAATGCATGAGCTATGAGTTTAATCCCTGGGTCAGCATGGCAACCCACTCCAGTATTCTTGCCTGGAGAATCCCATGGACGGAGGAGCCTGACAGGCTATACAGTCCATAGGGTCACCAAGAGTCAGACATGATGGAAGTGACTTAGCATGCACGTGTGCATATATATATATATATATATATATATATATATATATATTTTCCCCCCCCCCCCCACCTTGGCCAAGTGAGCTGCATGTGGGATCTTAATTCCTGGACCAAGGATCTAACCCAAGCCCTTTGCATTGCAAGCATGGAGTCTTAACCACTGGACTGCCAGGGAACTCTCTGTGATTTATACTCATATAAGATATACTGTTGGTGTTTAGTTGCTAAGTCCGACTATTTGCAGCCTCATGGACTGTAGCCCGCCAGACTCCTCTGTCCAGGGGCATTCTCCAGGCAAGAATGCTGGAATGGGTTGCCATTTCCTTCTCCAGGGGATCTTACTGACCCATGGATCGAACTCAAGTCTCCTGCTTGGCAGGCTGATTCTTTACCACTGAGCCACCAGGAAAGCCCATAAGAAATACTGCTGGTAAAAGAATACCAGAAGAATTGGTAGTAAAATATTGGTGATAAAAAGAAACCACTGATACACAGAACAACATGTGTGAATCTCAAACATATTATGCTGAACAAAAGATGCCTTACATAAAAGAGTATATACTATCTGATTCCATTAAATAAAGTTCTAGAATGGATAGTATCTCATAAAAAAGAAAAAAAGATCAGAGCAGTGGATACTGGGTGGGTAAAGGTGAGGACTAAATAGGACAGGAGATGAAGGAACTTTTGGGGGTGATGTTACGATTTATATCTTGATAGGGTGTTGCACGCAGGTATATGAATTCAGGGACCCTTGAAATCTTGCCTATTTCACTGTAGGTAAATTTTACTTTAAAAAAAAAAAAGGTAAACATGTGAATTCCCTGGTGGTCCAGTGGTTAGGATTTTGCCTTCTTACTGCCTACGGAGTGGGTTCAGTCCCTGATTTGGGCACTAAGATCACACAAGCTGTGCAGAGTGGTACAAAAAAAAAACCCCATTGTAAACAAATTTTAAACTCTTAGATCAATAGTTATAATAACAACAATCATGCTGAAGTGCTCAGGAGTGAACTGTACTGGTATCTGTAACTTATTATGAAATGCATCAAACAAATTAAGACAGCTAGATGGGGACATCCCTGTTAGTCCAGTGGTTAAGACTCCACAATTTCACCGCAGGGGGCACTAGTTCACCCCTGGTCAGGGAACTAAGATCCTCACATGGTGCAAGATAAATATAGCAAGACAGATGGATGGGCAGGCATGTGTCAAATACTAATCAAGAAATCTAGGTGAGTGGCCATTGCACCCCCCTGCTCTGCAGGCCCACAGAGTTGGACTCAGAAGCTGACCTCGGACCCTACTGTCCCTGAGTCTTGGCCGCCCTCACTCCGCCACCCGCTTTCAGAACCAGACTTGTTGGAGCAACTATGCCTACTGCCTCTGCCAATGGGTTACAAGGACCAGAAGCTAGCCAAACAGATGTATCAGGGAATTTTCTTTTTTCTGCAATAGTTGGATTTATCTATGGGTACCTGGCTGAACAGTTAGGGCGGACTGTCCACATAGTCATGGCTGGATTTGCTGACACTTCCTCCGTGGCCTATTTATCGCCAGCACCCTCTCAAGTGGGTACCTGCTCAAGACTCGAGCATAGAAGAAAAGAAAAAAGGGGAAAGAAGAGAGGCATGCTAAAGGTAACTTATTGGGGTTTTCATGACTCGGGTTTTACTACTGCATCTGCTGTGTTTCATCTGACAGTCTTATAACCACTGGACTGCCGGGGAACTCACTGTGATTTATATTCATATAAGATGTACTGTTGGTGTTTAGTCGCTAAGTCCGACTCTTTGCAGCCTCATGGACTGTAGCCCGCCAGACTCCTCTGTCCATGGGGATTCACATGTCACATGTGAACTAGTTTTCTGTGAGAAACATGCTCACCAGTCCAAACTCAAGAATGGACTTGGAGGCATGAGGTAGAGCGGAAAGCCAAGCTTTGTGGTCTTGCGAGATCAGGTGTCTGATGGGCAGGCACACCCACAGTCCTTACACAAAGCAAGTTATCCTAACATGGAAGCCCCTCTCCCAGTTCCTCACTGGAGTACTATGCGGTGAACAATATTCCCGGAAGTCACCTAGGTTTGTTCTCTCTCTCTTTATGGGCTGGCTCCTCCTTTCCTGTGCATGTCCTTCCGTTTTATGTTTTGAATTCACCAATAGGGTGAACCTCGGGTGAAAAATCCTAGGCATCCCACCTTCCCAGTTTTGTAACTGTATGGCTATTACACCAGCAATCTGTCACTCAAAGCTAGCTATTTTTGAAAATGGATCACTTTACATTTTTTAGTTCTTACCTTTTCCTATACAAAACATGAGCTAAAAAACACCTATGCTCAGCCGTGTATAGATTTTGTTCTCCCTCTGTTTCATTTCTCTGTTGGGTTTTAATTTATAAATAGTTTGGACCTTGTCTTCACAAACTTCCTCTGAAATGGAGAACTGAAAACAGAAGCATGCAAAGTTTCCTTCAGGTCTACAAAATAATGAAGGATAAAAGCTTCATAAATGACTGTACAATTTAACTATCAAAGTTTTGTAATTCATTATAAGTAGTCAGGCTGTTTTAATGTTTTCAATTAAAATTCAGTGCAATTAAAAACAACAAAAAAAGAAATCCAGGTGAGGTGCCCTCCAGGGCACAAAAGCCTGTGCTGCTTCTTTGTAGAAATAGACTTCTTTCAGCCTCCTTGACCTTCCCAGAGTTCCAAGGGGCAGATTCAAACAGTTGCTAATCAGGGAACAGAGGGAAATGCAGAAACAAGGTGGGGAAGGGGGGTGTAGGGGGATGTGGGGGGTTCCCAGTCTAGAAACAATAGTGCAGCCTCGGGGCAGGGTCCTATTTCCTCCTCAAGGAATACACATAACAATAGCTTTGCAAGCTAGGAACTAAGGCCACCACCCAGGTGGATGACAGTAGCTTCAGGCAGAGCATAATATTCCCGGAGCACCACCCCGTGACCTCACCACCAGCCAACCAGAAGAAAGTCACACACCCTGCAGCCCTCATTCCAAATTTTGCCTGTAACAACTTCTCCCAGAAAACCCTCAGGGAGCTGCCTAAATCACCTGTTTTCTTTTGCTTGGCCCTGTAATAACCCTTTCTCTGCTACGAAAGTTTGGTCTGTTTGGCGTCATATATGCGTGGGGCACACCAATCTGTGTTCAGTAACAAGCGTATATAGTTGTTAAATGTCAAATTATTTTAACTTTTCATTATGTTTGAAATCTGTCATAAGATGTTGAGGAAAAAAACCCAATAATGCAATTATAAGAATATACCAGACAATTAGGAGTCATTTCCATGATGTATTGATGAGTAAGAAAATCGGGAGATGGAAAATGTGTATAACATGATACTTTTAAAATACAACAATAAAAAAATAATAAAATATAACAATAACAAAAATACCCTAATTGATATGAGTTACCTGAGTGTGGAACAGGATGTGGCAATGTAGGTGGGATGCTGATATCAGAGGTACCTGTGTGCTCAGTTTCAAAGTTGTGTCTGACTCTGCAACCCCATGGACTGCAGCATGCCAGGCTCCCCTATCCTTCACTATCTCCTAGAGTTTGCTCAGATTCATGTCTACTGAGTTGATGATGCTATCTAATCATCTCATCCTTTGCCACCCACTTCTCCTTTTGCCTTCATTACCTGACAAAAAACATTAAGGGTTCCCACTCTTTCACTCTCAACTATCTGCTTAACTGTTTGCCAGTAAAGAATCTGCCTGCAATGCGGGAGACCTGGGTTGGGAAGATCTTCTGGAGAAGGGAATGGCTACCCACTCCAGTATTCTTGCCTGGAAAATTCATGGACAGAGGAGCCTGGCAAGTTACCGTCCATGGGGTGGCAAAGAGTCAGACATGATCGAGCGACTAACACTTTAACTGTTTGATGTATACCTCTCCAGGCTCTTTTCCTTGCATTAAAAAAATATATATTTTTAACACATATATTTTGTGTGCTACATATACTATTCTGTAACAGACTTCTTTCACCACCATGGACACCAGGACAACATCTTACCAAGCCACCTGGCTCTTTTGAATGGTGGCAAAGGATAGCACAGTATGAATGCATTGTGGTGGGTTTAACTATTTGTTCAGCAATAGACAGCTAGGCTGCCAACAATTTTTGGCTATTTCAAATGTTACAATAACCATCCTTCTGGGTCAGAGAGAATGAAGCTTTACTTTGATGTGTGTGCGCCCCTGCATTTAAACTGTGGTCAACCACTGGACCACCAGCAAAGTCCTTGAGATTTGTATTCACATAAGAAATACTGTTGATGTTGTTAGTCGCTTAGTTGTGTCCGACTCTTTGGGATCCCATGGATTGTAGCCCACCAGGCTCCTCTGTCTATGGAATTTTCCAAGTCAGAATACTAGTGAATTGCCATTTCCTCCTCCAGAGGATCTTCCGAACCCAGGTATCAGACCCAGGTCTCTGTGGCTCCTGCATTGGCAAGCAGATTCTTTTCCACTGAGACAGCTGGGAAGCCCCCTTTACTTTGATAAGTTCTGCCAAATTGTGCTCTAAACAACTTGTACAAACTTACATTCTCACTGAAAAGAATTGAGAAAACCCCATTCCTAGACCCTAACATCAGAAACCTTCACTCCTTTAAACTTTTGACAATCTGATAAGCAAATGAATGGTTCAGCTCACTTCAGTTCCTCAGTTGTGTCTGACTCTTTGCGACCCCATGAACTGCAGCACGCCAGGCATCCCTGTCCATCACCAACTCCCGGAGCTTGCTCAAATGAATGGTACCTTGTTTACATTTTCATTTCCCTGATCACTAGCATAATCAAGTATCTTTCCTTCTGTTTATTAGTTATTTATATTTCTTCTGTGAACTGCTTGATCTTATTATTTTCCCAAGCCTTATGAACTATTCCTCCTGCTTCTGACTCCACACCTCTCTAATGGTCTATTCCTTAAGAGTCAGCAGGAAGTGAAAGTGTTAGTCACTCAGTCATGTCAACTCCTTTGCAACTCCATGGACTGTAGCCCACTAGACTTCTCTGTCCATGGGATTTCCTAGGCAAGAATACTGCAGTGGGTTGCCATTCCCCTCTCCAGGGGATCTTCGTGAGTCAGGGATCGCCTCCTGACCCAGGGATCAAGCCTGGATCTCCTGCATTGCAACCAGATTCTTTACCATCAGGTCATTTCCCCCAACTAATGACTCCACAGACTACAGGACTAAGTCTAACCCTTTAATACGGCTCTCCTGAACGCTCCACCATTAACAACAACAACAAACATTTATTAAGCACTTACTACATGCTGTTCTCAGAAGCAACTTGCATTATCTCATTTACTCCTCACAACAACCCTTTGAGGCAGCAACTATTATCATTCCATTTTAGGGAAGAAACTGAAGAACAGGTCCCCACACCACAACCTTTCTAAATGGCATCTCAGCCATCCCAGCTATTGTACCACCGCACTCCCCCTCCAGACTTTTCTGCTGCAGTTGGATATCCTGGGTGTGTAATGCCCTGCCCCTGGTCCCTGTTGTTTGTTAGGTGGGAGATGACTAATTTTTTAGACCTGGTTCAGGAAAGCCTACTAGCCTGAGGAATGGTATTTCAAAATACAGTATCAGATTGTTACTGGCAGAACAGCCATTCCTCAGTTCTTGTCCTCCTGAGGCAAAGAATTCAACTGAGAGACACAAAGCAGTTTCAAGCAGCTTTTGCTTAGGTGAAGAAAAAGTATACTCTCGAGAAGGTAGAAGAGTCGGCTGTCTGGGAACCAGAAGCAGCCCCGCAGTGAGGGTAGGGTAGATTTTAATAAAAGGGTGGAAAGTCCTTCCTGGTGTCCTGAGTTATCTGACTGAAAAATTGATTGATAGCTTTAGGTTATATAACTTTTCTCATGTGCAGGTGCTTACCCATAAGTACCAAAGCAAAACCTGTGGGGGGGGGGAGGGGGAGGTACACAAAAATTGCAATGCTGATTTATTGTCGCCTCTCAGGTCTTGGTGCACCTGAGCCAACTGGTGATGGTGGTTTGAAAAGCCCTACTGTGTTCCTGACATCTTGCTTGGTCCTAAAACTGGCTGGAAACTTAGCAGTTCCTAACGAAAAAAGGGAGGATGTCTGGGTGTGTTCTGGTCATCAGTATCCAGGTGTGGGGGGTGGGGGTGGGGGTGAGATGGCCCTATCCAGAATGGGGCAGGACCTGCTCTTGTCTGACTAGCTACCTAAGAAGTGATCTTAATGGGACTTCTAGTTCTATGTTTTACAAACTGGATTGCAACTCTCATTAATGGGTAAAGACCAGACCAGGGCTTTTGTACAATTGAAATAAACTAGAATAAAAAATATCAGAAGGTAGGGAATGAGGCTAAGCTTTGTTTTAAGGACACATACTGTTCTGTGAAAGCTGTGTATACCAGACCCCATATTAAAAAGCAGAGACAACTGCTGTGCCAACAAAGGTCCATCTAGTCAAAGCTATGGTTTTGCCAGTAGTCATGTATGGATGTGAGGGTTGGACTATAAAAGCTGAGTGCTGAAGAATTGATGCTTTTGAACTGTGGTGTTGGAGAAGACTCTAGAGAGTCCTTTGGACAGCAAGGAGGTCCAACCAGTCAATCTTAAAGGAAATCAGTCCTGAATATTCATCTGAAGAACTGATGCTGAAGCTGCAATACTTTGGCCACCAGATGCTAAGGGCTGACTCATTGGGAAAGACCCTGATGCTGGGAAAGACTGAAAGCAGGAGAAGGGGATGACAGAGGATGAGGTGGCTGGATGACATCACTGACTCAATGGACACGAATTTGAACAAACTCCAGGAGATAGTGAAAGACAGGGAAGCCTGGCGTGCTGCAGTCCATGGGGTCGCAAAGAGTCGGACACGACTGAGCGACTGAACTGACTGAGTGACTAAAAATAAAATGTGAAGTTTTACTGTGGAGAGAGGTCCAGAGTGATCTTTCTGAAAACTGAAAGATCACTGATTCTCTCGGTGTCCTGCTTTGCAACTTTCTGTGCTTTCCTATTTCTGTTAAGATTAAAAACAAAAACCTCTCATCACCTCCCCATGGCCCACAATGGCCTACCCAATCCAGCCCCTGCTGCCTCTGACCTCATGTCACCTGTTCACAGTTCACGCCCAGCCTTGGAGGTGCTACTTCCTCTGCCTGGACTGCTCTCCCCTTGTCTTACACCTGCTAACTCCATTTATCATTCGAGATTCTGCTCAAACATCACCTTCTCCAGAAACTTCTGGTTCTGCATCCTGGGCTTTTTCTCACAAGTACTTATCAGAACAGTAGTTAAATTTTTTTTTTTTAAGTATTTGTCTTTAATTGCCTCCTTCTTCCTTAGTTAGGTTCTTTCTGTTTATCTATAGCAACTCACAGTTTTGCTTTGCTCATATGAGACATTCAGCCAACATTTGTTAAATAAAAGAATGAGCCTCTTGCCCAAGGCAAGAATCGTCTCCTCAGAAACTTTTTCGTGATGCCAGTGCTTATTCCATAACGGACTCCTAACCAGCAATGTTAATGATAGCTGCCACTTCTAAAGCCCATGCACTCTGTTACTAGGGGAAATGCCTTACCTATGATATTTTATTTTGGCCTCACACAACTGAGAGAAAGGCAGTATTTTACACACTTAATAGTTAGGGAAATTTAGATACGTGGTTAAAATCAAATGCAACTAGTAAGTGGCAGAGTCAGAATTTGAACTCCAGCTATGGAAACATGATACTAGCTCCTAAAGCTCGGAATGACATGTTTATCTACACATCTGCCACTCCCTACTAACTAGCCTACACTCTTTAGAGGCAGGAACCAGGACTCAGGCAAATGGTAGAGCCCCCATTAAATATATTTGAGCAGGGTACTTCATAACATTATAAAATAACCTATTAATAGCTGGAAGGGACCTATTCTCAGTGGAGGCAGTGCCCCAGAATTCCTGATACAGGGTGACTTGCTAAAGCTCCCCTACAACCTTTTCTCTTGCAGATCAACTCTACTTACTAGCTCTATTAGATTCTGGAAGCATCTACTGAGCATCTAATACATACAAGGCTCTATGCTGGAGACTGAGGGAAGGCACCAACACGATGAAAGGCCTGTCCCTGTGTTCAGAGGTTCTACAGTCTGGTGGAGAGATGCGAGCTCTAACACAAGGTAGGGTGACATCCAGCTATAACTAAGCTTCGAAGAAGGAGCAATGAGAGCCCAGAGAAGCAATAAATTTCCACTGGGTGGATGAGGGTTGAGGTCACAGCACAAGAAAGTTCTCTCAAGAAAGTTCTCTCTAGTCAGAACAGAAGTCTCTTCCACCTGGTGGATGGTGGGGGTGGTTTTTTTTTTGGGGGGGGGGTGCTATGTCAATTCACTCAGTTTGCAGCATCTCACTTAACCGACCAGGGGCTGAAACCGAGCAAGTGCAGTGAAAGCCCGGAATCCTAACCACTAGGTCACCGAGGAATTCCCCAAGTAGGCCATGTTGAGTGAACTCAGTTCTGCCTTCTGGAATGACACCAAAGT